AAATTATTCTCATTTTTTTTTTCATAATCTATCTGTGAATGTGCGTTTTAAAAACATGTTTTGGTGGATATATATTCTGTAATGAATATATTTTGTATTTATTTTTATCATACTAACTTGTTTATTTTTCATTCCACCTACTATGAAAGTAAAATAAGTTTCATGCGTAGAAGTGTCTCGGTAAGAAAAAATCTCCGTAAAATCTTGAATTGCACTAAGAAGCTCAGTATCAAAGGTAAAATTTTATCATTAAAACTAATAATATTTTATTATGAATGTGTTGTCTTTTAATATGTATGATGAATTTTTGTAAGATCTTTAGTGCCATTGATGGACTATTTATTAAGTAGACCAATAATTACCTTATATTATCATTTAGATAATTTAGCTTAGTATAGCAATAATTGCTCATATGGTCAATCAATAAAAATGTTTAACACTTTATATGACTTTAATTGCTCATATTTCAATTTAAGATACTAAGAGTTTATGTTTTTTTATACCTTTATGATGATTCAATTAGGGTTCAACAATGGACAAAGATCGTTATTGGATATACTATCGTTTAGATGTTATACGAATACTTATGAAATATTTTTGTTCTATATAACAGTTATGATTGGACGTCGTGCAAATAATACTGTCCATCGAGGTAGTTTTAAGGCAGGATCTATAAGAGGCGATTTACGTATCGGATCGTTATTAGAATCGATACAACATGATCTACCATACGGGTTGACATCACCATAGGATTAGCTTTATCATAAATACAGTACGATTGACTATACTAGTCACCTCCAACATCGATAATGGATGACCTATTGATGGAACATGACATCAATTTAGGATTAGCTAATGATCCACTAGTTGGAGATGAAGAAGGGAGGATAACTAGGTAGATAACTAAGGGGCAAACAAAGGATTATCGATTCTTATAGATCTAGAAGAACGGGTGTGGATTACTCCGTGAGGAGAAAAGTATTAATTGTTTTCTTATTTTTATTTATTTTTTAATGAATTCATTCGGTTAAACTAATTTTACTAACAAATGGATATAGGTAATTATTTTGAACAATTATCGGTTAGTTTAATAATTTCAATAACAAATCTATGATGTATGATGTATTTAGGGTAGTAAATGGATATGTATTTTTGTATATATTTTTATTTGATTTGAGTTAAAAGTTTAAATTATTATTAGCGACTTATTGTATTCTTATTTATTATGTTAGAAAAAATGTCAATGGGCTAAGTCAGATGATGATCTTGTTTAACGAGCATAGAACAATTAAAAATGTCAATGGGCTAAGTCAAATGATGATCTTGTTCAACGAGCATGGAACAATATTTCAAATAATCAATTGAAAGATTTAATGTCCGATAAGAGGAAATTGACAATGAAATAGCATGAAGTTGATAACACTATAGACTACAGAGGTATGAAGCGAAGATGGATCACAGCTTTAATTTAGGATGCTTTTATTGAGAATGTATGGAGCACTCCCAAATGGCAAAACATCTCCTTCAAAGCCAAACAAAATTGTTGAACACAAAAGGAATAAAGTATTATGAAACATATTAATGACTCAATTGTTTTTCCTATTCATTGTACAATCTTTTTCATGAGTTATTTTTACTGTTTAATGTCAATAAATTATATAAATTATATTGTTACATGTTTCACTAAATGAGTCTAAATATATGTAGTAACTTGAGTTGCAATGAGAACCCATCTTTATAGAACTTTTTAATCGTACTCACAAATGTTTAGGAGGATGTGGTGATTTCATTGGCAACAAGTCCAGAGTTGTCAATATATGTGACTTTCAGGTGATTGTGAATAATTTGAAAATGTTGCCTTGTTTTATTGAAATAAATAATATCTTGTGTGTTTTGTGATACAAATATTTTATAAAAAGTGAATTATTGCATAATTTGCTATGTGATTTTGATTGTGTATTGTGATTGTTGTTTAACTATCTTTGTAGTATATTGCGATTATATGATATTTTTGAAATATGAAAACTATTGCGTATTTTGAATTGTGATGACAATTGTGTATTGTGATTGTTGATTAACTATTTTTACCATATATTACGTATTTTGCATTATGATGATAGTTGTGTATTGTGATTATTGATGAATTATTTTAATAGTATATTGCGATGACTAGTTATGTATAAAAAGTTTTTGTATATCTAGATAAGATCACATTTGTGAAAGGAAAAAATTATTGCATATTTTTATTTGTGATTCTGTTTGTATGTTGTGATTGTTGATAAAGTATATAATAAAGTAATTGAAAGCAAAGATATTATAGGAAATATTGTATTAAACTAGATAATGTTTTGTGCATATTGAACTGACTTTGTAAAATGTAAAAACTATTGTGTATGTAATAATTAAATATTGACGTTGTGAATTATTTAAAGTTGTGATATTTTAGTGAACTAAATAGGTCTTATAGTAATGGTTATTGTTTTATACTTTTTGTAGGAAAACTATACTGCTACATTATCTCAGAAATACGGTGAAGACTCTTCCAATCATCCAGATTTTGATCTATAAACATGGACTGAAGCTATTGGAGGGGTTGAAGTTATGCGCACTCATGTATATGGCTTTGGATCAGCAAATAGATCTAGGACTTCCTTCATTCAACTCAGTCTACTGTTGCAGTAGGATCATCTCACTTTGTTTGTGGTCCATCATCTATACTTTCTCAAGTTCTTCAACCTCAAATAGAAAAATGAATTGATGAGTTGAGGATTGAGCTGACAGCTGAGTTTAAGTTATTCATGGATCAAATGATGCAATTGATAGGGTCTAGACAAACTTTGCCATCACAATATTGTGGACCTGATGACAACAATGAAAACTTTGAATTAAAAGTGCAGTGGAAGTACAGTGACTTTTTTTTTTTAGATTTGTATGAGGTATTTGATGGATGGATACTATGCATATCTTATGGATGGATATTTTATGATGCTTTATGAATGTTATGGATGTTTGATGGATGTTATTTGATTTGATATTTTAATTAACAATAATGGAATATTTAAATTGTAATTTATAAGTTTATTAAATAATTATTGGTTTATGACTAATTATAAATATTTTTATTTAAATTATTAATGAAACTATATTTTTACTGATGGAATTTAACGATGAAACTTTGATCATTATTGATTGAAAAAAAAAAACTCTTTTATGATCATTTTCATGCTTACTACCAACAAATTTACTAACAACAAATTTTACTGATAATTATATACATATTTTATTTATTATCGACGGAATAACATTTTTTCATCACTACTATTATTGACATAATTTTAGCTTTTAAGCCCAATTTTTTTATAGTGTTTTTTTAGATTCTTTTAACGGTATAATATTTTCCAAATAAAATTTTGGGAACGTTTCTTGCATTTCATAGATTTTCAATAAAATCAATTGTGGAGTTTGGAACAAGGATATAAAAAAAAATCTAAGCTATAATTATATCTTCTTTTTAATTACCAATATACCATACTTGCGTTTGATTCAAGAAATCCACTATTATATCAGTAAATATTAGTCAAAACCCAAAAAGTCTTTGATTCTCGTTGTGTGTATATATATATATATATATATATATTTATTTATGAGTCTCTAGAAGCTTTGATTGTGACTAAATCCTAAACTCAAATTTTTTTTTGATTTCTTAATGTGCTTAGTCTATAATAAGGCAACATATTCAACTTGTTTACGACGAATTAATAATGCTATTTGATAGGATAGGATTAGGGATATTAATTTTATATAAATTAGTGATAAATTTAATTTTTTATTCAAATAAAAACGAGTACAAATATTAAATTTTATAAAAAAAATCAAGATGAATATGATTTTGAACTACAATTCTGATATGGGACAGTTACGGATTATAAAGCTTCAGTTCTATAGATGCATCAAATATATAATATCAAATTTATATCTAGATTGACAGATGATGCTGTCTTCATTAAATTCAGGGTAATATCTTATTCCTCAAATTTTCTTCGGCAAGTGGCTTGTGAAGGCAGCCAGCCTTTTCATGTGAACGATGTTGCCTTCAATTTGCAATCAACACACATATATATGGACATATAATTAAGTAATTGTAAAAAGTAAAATCAAACATCCGTGTCAATTTCATCACTTAAAATTAAATTGATTAAATATTAAAAAAGCCATTGAACTGTTTTATTTTTATAAATAATTTTTTATATTTTTATTGTATTTAAATAATTTTTTATTTCAAATAAAAGAATAATTTATGTTAAGAGTTTATTTAAGTCTAAATTAAAAGTTTAAAGATTTATTTAAATATAAATTAAATTGTAAAAATTTTTTATGTGTAAATTCAAAATTAGGAGTTTATTTAAATATAGGAAAAATATAAAGACTAATCTTAATAAAATTATAAAGATCAACGACTTTTTATTATTTTAACCAATTAAAATTGGAATCCTAATTCCCCCTTGTTTGTTTAAGAAGAATATCTAAGATTTTATCTTTCCTTTAAAAAAAGAAAAGGCAGTATCCTTCCTTGTTAGTGCATGAAACAATAAAAAATGACAAATTGACAATTAAGTTAGATATTTTTTTCAAGAAAAATTAAAAATGATAACTTTTTCCATACGTCAAGAAGACTAAAATGCAGAAATTTCTTACTTGTGGATGTAAAAACTTAAATAAGATGGAAAATTCGTTTATCTCTTTGGGAGTTAATATTTTTTTATGTAGATATAATAATTCATGTATTTGTATTATATTTATTTTATATTAAATATATATATAAATATAAAATTAATTATATTATAATTTATGTTTACACATTAAATATAAAATATTTATTTTTTATTTTTTTAATTTATATAAAATTTTTATTAATTTTAATCCATATCATTTTTAGATTTTTTCATATCATTTTAATGTCTAATCTAAAATTATCTAATTCTATTTCTATGTACCCTTAGATTAATATCTCCCCCAAGATTCAAGTTTTAGTCAAAGAAACAATAGAATTTCTATCATTAATTTCCACTTCATCAACCCAATGATTAAGATTAAAACCAAAACCTTTTTGTATTAAGAGAAATTCTGTGCATAATACAAATACAAATCAAGCATGAAACACACCAAAGGAAAAAAAAAAAGAAACTGTACATACAAAGAAAGGAGAACTTTCCCCGTTCCCTTTTTCCTAGACAGGTAATTAAAATCAAAACTTTGGGTTATGAAAAAAAAATGCTAGAAGAAGTTTTCAAATACGAGGAGTTTTAAGGGTTTTATATTTAAGAATCCCTTTATACAAAACTTGCCTGTTGAGAGGCATGGAATCAGAAATTTTCAGGACCTGTTGACGATCATGATCATGATCTCCAACTTTAGCCTGCTTTGCCAGGCTGAAGCCAGGATTTCTCTTCCTGTATTCTTTGTTATTTGATGATGGTTCCATCACATCATCAGCAAAACGAACCCTTTTCTTTACTTTACATTTTCCAGTTCCTACAAAAACAAAAAAAAAAACCCAGAATTTAATTGATGCGGTGCTGTAAAAAATACAAAAGAAAAAAAAAATCAAGAACAATTAATGATTTTAATATATAAAGATATATGTTACCGCCCAATTCAAATTCAATCTTCTTCATGAAATCTGAGAGGAGACGTTTATGGGCTTCACGGGCAATGAAGACTACACTTCCTGAAATTGCAAAGACTGCCATGAATCCTACTCCTATAGACCCTGCTTCCATTTCTCTCTTTTTTTTTTTTTTTTGGTCCACCCTATCTTTCTTTTATCTTCTGCAATTTATAACTTTTTTGAAGCATTTATAGAATGAAAAAATGGATAAGCCAAGAAATGAGAGGGAAAGAGAGGAGACATTTTCTTGGACCCAACAGAAAGAAAAAAACATGAAGAGAATGATCAGTTGTTGATGGGATTGGTTTTTATACGTGAAAAGAAAGGAACTAAAAAAAAAAAGAGTTTTTAATTATTAAAAAGGATTTGTTCATACAATGAATTGAAAATGAAAATTTTCCACATATTTTATATGCTTAATTTGACTAATACTTGAATTACAAACTAAAAAAAAAAAAATCAAATTTGTTGTCTTTTTGTTATTTTTAGGTTTCCCAAAACAACAAGATTGCGGCTGAAAAGTCAAGGTAACTGACTTCCATTTGATAATTTGGTGTGCCTAAAAATTGTCTTAAATTTAATGACATATATATCTTTACAAAACCAAAGGTTTTTGACCAAACGATGGTTTTGGACTTTTGTTAAGTTGAGCAATTAATTTTTTTTTTTTGCATTTTTTTTCTTTGGTTTATTTTTTCTGTTGATAGGATTCTTGGGTTTACAATAAACTTATTTTACCCATATCCCGTGCTTTTAAATTTATTTTTATCAATCTATACTGTTTTCTGCAATGTCATTATACCATGTCATATTTTCTTAATTTTAATAATTAAAAAAAATTGACAGATTCCTAACTCTTCAATTATCTCTCTCCATCTTCTTTCTTTATCTATTTCAATTCGATTCGATTATCCCAATTTGATAGTAGTCTTGATAGTTTTGTTTATTTATTATAATTGTAATATACCAACATGTTTGAATTTATTAACCAAACCAAGTTTTATTTTAGAAGAACTATATGTGGTTGTTAATTTAATAGCATAGATCAGCAAATTCATTTGAAATATGATATAGTAATGATGTGGCAAAAATATTAGGGATTAAGAAATAAGTTTAAAAATACAAGATTTTAAGAAATAAAATTTTTAAATCAGAATAATTTGCTAAAAAACTCTACTGTTGTTGTTATTTCCATGAATTGATTTGGAGATTGATGACATGAGTAAAGTTGTGATAAAATTTAAAGTTAGTAGATATTTTAAACATTCTTATAGAGTAAGTGATAAAATTTAAGTTTGTGGATATTTTAAATATTATGATCGAATTGGATATATGATATAATTTGTTTATTTATTTTATAGTTACTCAAAAACATCTAATAATTTTGAAATTCAAATTTCAATACCTATCATTTTTTTCTTTTCTAGAGACTTCCTTTATATATATATAAAAAAAAGAATACAAGATATTGGTTTTGTGAAAAATTTGAAAGTATAAAGGAAGATGGTTAATTTCTTTGAATCATAAAGTTTTAGAAAATTATCCTATATATACTATTGGTGTAGCTTTTAAATTTTATAAATGAAATTAAATAAATGTATCTTATTAAAATATATTTATGAAAATTTATAATTTAAATAATTAATTTTATTAAAATATAATTATAAAAATTAATTATCTAATTAATTATTAAATAAAACACATAAAAATAGTGATAGAATAATAATCTTAAACTCTTTACCATTTTTTTTTTTACCAAAATTGCTTTCCGTAGTGTTTGGTATGGAATGATCATTTTAAAAACTATGATAATTTACACATGGTAATTAAATTATCGTATTTGGTAAACACTTGATAATTTTACATGATAATGATTTTAAATCAATGTGAGTGATCAGTTAATTATCTTAGAGAGTGACCTAATTATCATAAAAAAATGTGAAAAATTTTTATCACCAATGTGAAATAATATGTAAACTTAATAATAATCAATATTACACATTTAATATGTGAATTAAAATTTTGATTTCTCTTAAAATTTTAATTATTTTATATTATAAACTTTATATTTTCATACTAATATTCATTACAATAAGTTCAAAAGTAATTTGTGTATTTTTTTGTTACTTTTTCTAATATTTTATATATAATATAATATCTTTGTTTTCTTATTTTGATTTTAATAGATTAGTTTTATTTTTTAATTCAAAGTTTTTTATATAATTTATATTATAAAAATGACTATACTTAGTAAATAAATACATAAATTGATTAATTTAATAATTTTATTTTATTTATTATAAAATAAATAAAATATTACTACGTTTATGATTATTATCTTTAACCAACATTCAGATCATTAATTTGTATAGCTATTACAATAAGGATAGTTATTTTTATACTTTTAAATAAAATAATATTTGATTTTTAGTATTCTGAAATATAGTGATCTTTAATTCTTATAAATTAACGATTGTTAACCAAACAAAATGATAAAATCACCTTGATAATAAAATCATCTCAGTGATTACATTACAATGATAATTTTAAAATGAAAGTATATGTTACTTTAGAAAATATAACTTGATAAGTGATAAGGAATGTGTGAGAAATGCAAAACTTATGTGTTAGGACAAAAAAGTCATTTGGAATAAGATGTAAAAAAAAGCAAAAAAAAAAAAAAATTTACCAATAAGAGAGAAAAAAAAAAAGAAGAACCAAGAAATTAAGCTTCTAAAAATAACAGTTAGATAATATACCAAAGAAATAAATAAATATATATATGTTCAATCAAATAAACAAAAAAAAAAAAAAACAATTTACTAAGAAAATTTCTTTAAATTGAAAATTTTGGAAGAACTTGCAAGCAACCATTCTTGTTCAAACTTAGGTATAAATTTCAAACCCAATTATTTTATTTATTTATTTATTTGCTTTAATGTTATTATATGTTTGTTTAATTTCATTTATAAAATTGTTTAATTAATTTAATAAACAATAATTAAAAAAAAGTTATGAAAATGAAGATATAATTAACTAAATTAGATAATAGAATATAATTATTTTAAAAAATCATAAAATAATTCTTTTTACTTATTGTTTATTAATTAAATTGAGAATTAAAACATACTTATTTACTCAAATCTCCTAAATTAAAATTTTAGAAACATTGCAAGTGACAATTTTTTATTTCCATAAAAAAAAACTCAACCAATTTATTTATTCTTATAAATATGGGAATACATATACTTATTATTCAACAAAAAAACTCAATCGCTTTATATTCTTTTAAGTTATTGAAAAAAATAATTGTGATCCCAACATAGCCGGGGAAACAATAATAAGATTTTGAGAATTTACATATTTAGTTTAAAGTTAAGATATACAGTAAGTTGATTAAATTGATAAGATTATCTATATTGAAACAAATATTTTTTAATTTATATCGAATTTAAATAATTTATACGCATGTTTTGAATTCTTTTAAAAAGAAAAAAATTTGAAGTTGGGATATAGATACTTCTATTTAGGAAATATGAGGATTTATAGTAAGAGCTCATTTTTTATAATAACTTTGCTTTTGGAATTAAAAATTTCATTAGTATGAAATAATTTTCATAAAAGTAAAAAGATGGGTACAATTCTTGAATTCTACTAATTAAATTTTAAGGGTTTTAATGTAAATACAAAATGTATAATTAATTTTGACAACTTGATTATCAAATTGGGTTCATAATTCATTGGTAGAGTCTTTGACTGTAGGTCAAGAGGTCATCTGTTTAAACTAAATTGACCCCTTCAAAATGCTGTAATTTTTTTTATTAATTTTGTTTTCTTAGTTTTTTTTTTTCTTTTAAATGGAAATACAGCGAACTGAAAAAAGAGTGGGCTTTGTTTCTACAAAGCAAGGGCTTTGCTCATGATGAAAAGCTGCAAATGGGTTTTTATTGTTCTTTCGGCCTGTAATTTGATATTCGTTTTACGTTTGGCAAACCGTATGTTAATTTTTTATTACTGCTACTTGCTTTATTCTTTACTTCCTTTATTTGCATTTTATATCTTCAAATCTTATTAAATATATTTGATGAATAATAAAAAAAAAAAAAATTCTAATTCATAGATATACTATAAACTGCAAGAGCATTGGATGGTAAAGATCAGAAATTAGATGTTTCCAAGAAGAGATAAGCCATGGCCTATGGTATCTTGGTTTATCTCATTATATTGCCATCTTCTAAGTTGCATACATTGATGGTAGTGTATCGTACATGGTTGCAAAGATGAAGTACCGCACGATTGAGTTGACCTCACCGATCGCGAGCATCCCTACTAGACAGAGAACATTGAAGAATTTACATTTTCTAAAAGAGCTGCTAGCGAGAGGATTCATGTTGGACATGGCTACCAAGTACCTGTAAATTTTAGATGCAAATCATGACATAAATGGTGAAACATTGCATTGGATGGCATCTGATGCTAGAAACATAGCTTAAGGTTATGTTTTCAGCTGAGGAAATTGTTATTTGGGAGCATAGTGGGAGCTTTATGACTGAACCCTGAAACGAGAGAATTGTCATTCTTGTAGTAAGATTCATTTAATGTACTCGTAAGTGCAAACAATATTCAGACTTGCAGTAGTATCACCAGGACATACATTGGAAATCACTGTCTAATTTGATAGATCACAGCAGGGATTGCCTCAAAGATCTCATGTTATATAATCGAAATTGTAGGCAGATGTAAAGAGCTCTCTGATGAGCCTGAATGAATGGTTACATAATCCATTCCTCGTGGTAATCAGTTTCATAGAAGAGAGCTTCCAAATAGCAAAAACAATATGTCAGAGTAGGGTTAAGACTTGAGAAAGCAGTTCCCATCATCAAATTCAAATTCCCTTTGTTTTACATAACAGAAGAAGAATAGAGTAAAATCACAACAGTGGGACAATCATTTTCTTTTCTTCTTTGCGATCAATACACGGATTCTCTGATTGAAAACTTTGATATCTAATTTAACTTAGCATACCTAACAGAATTACTGAATAAACACGAAAGCAACTCGCTCTCCCTTTCTCTCTGAAGCCTGAACAATGTATACAACAATTTGGATTCCAGTTTTAATGCAATTATAAAAGAGAAAATAACAGTTAGAATGTAAAGTTTAATTTGGATTATGCGGTCTCAGCATACCAAGATGAGGTATCAACTCTTGAATGTTTTATGCTTTATGGCTAAACCCGTGTCTTCCATCATGGCCACGAACTCACTATAATCAATGCGCCCATCCTGAACAGAACACATAAAGACAATTTATATTTAAAATTAACAGCATCTTTAACCAAGATAATATTTAAGGGGAAATAAAAGTTAAAGTCAGCTCGTAAGTTCTTTACATTATCCTGGTCAACTTCTTGTATTATATCTTCTAAGCGAACATTGTGCAAGCCAAACTGCTCACAGGCCTGTTGGAGCTCATCTTGAGTGATGTATCCGCTCCCATCTTTGTCAAAGTAGGAGAAAGCCACAAACAGATGATCCTCTTTCTGGATCTTGTTTAGATGAACCATGGCCGCTATGAACTCCCTATAGTCTATGGTACCACTGTTATCAATATCTGCCTGAAGTATTTAAAAGAAAAATGATACAAAATCAGCAACAATGTTAGAGTCTAGGTGCCTGGCTGCTCATTCTTAGTTACGCCACTGGTATGCCGGTTGATCTTGCATTTAAGCCCACTTGTAAAAGTGATGATGATTGGACAACGGAGCGGAGTATAGTCACATGTAGCTACATCTGTGCTAATAGGTTAGTAAATGAGTGTTTTCAGTCAGTGTTTCTGCAACTTCAAAGATTCACAGAACACTTTAAAACATCTGAAACACTTATGGCAACCCACCCCATGCCCCTTTCAACACTGAACCTATTAATGTCCACTGCTAGCAAATTACAGGAAAAGCCAGCTTCATACTACACTACAGCAAGTCTGAGATTTGTTCAGTAAAAAAACACTGGAAGAATATATGATGTATTGATTTGGTTATGCATGAGCCAAACTAGGTTTGATCAATTTGCTACAAAAGTCTCAACCTAGAAAAAATGAAAGTAATTTGTATCTTTTTCGACCTAGATAAAGAGTTGACAACATAAACTCACTTTCTGAATCTAAAGCATTTACGTGCCTCAACTGGCATCAAATTAGAAAGTTCCTGATATAATTTTGAAGGGAAGGCTTACCGCTTGCATTAATCCATTAATCTCAGAATCCTTGAGATTAGAACCAACTTTTTCCAAACCAGTTTTCAGTTCATCTAGAGTGATTTGTCCACTATTATCTGAGTCTATCATCTTAAACATTTCTTTCAGGCCAGCAATTTCATCTTCTGATAGGCTATCAGCAATGACCTAAATGGAAAAACACAACTTTAAATAAGAAAAATGTATAAAAAAAAGCTAGTCATGGCCCCCAAAAAAACTATATCACAACTTGTCGCAACTGCCTGATATAAATGATTGCATTAAGCATCTAATTAGGTTCTTACTCTTTAGCATTAAGTTAAAAATTAGCTTGGTCCATTCAACATGCTTCATTCATGCATATTATTAGAGAAAAAACACACTTTAATTTGAAAATTCTCCACAACTACTGTTAACATCAGAGAGTTGACGTGTTCTGGGTACTAACTCTGATGGCAATTTTCTTCAACTTGTTCATTGCAGAAAATTGCTTTAAACGAGATAGGACCGCAGAATCAAGAGGCTTATCTGGAGCAAGACCATCCAACTGAACCCAAGGGTGACCTGCAGTGAAATAAAAAGGTAAATAAACAAACAGTGAAAGCAACATTTCTGTCTTGAATATTTTTGAACAATGATAAAATGGTTTGACATAGACAACATAATTGGACTTCTAGAGGAATACTAAGTTTGATAAATTATTGGTTTAATTCTAAAGAAAGTGAATTTCTTCTGATAAAAGTCGCAAAGCACGTGATTAATCAAGTGTTCAGAAAGTCCTTGGTTTTCTTCAAGATACTGCAGAAAGGGAAACACCAACGAAAACATGAGTGCCAATGCTGCTTCTTGCATTTAAGTAACCGAAATGAGACTCTTCCGTTGTCATCCAAATTGCTCACGTTTCAGAAGAGGTTTAGGGCTTATTATCCCTTTTGACCATAGACGATAGAAGTTTTGAACACCCTGTGCAGTTGTTAATTGAAACTTCAATTAAACAGTGCAAATCAGGAAGCCCTAAGGTCCAAGAGCAGCAGCTCATTGATAATCTTTTATACCTGTCCATACCACTTGTTTGGCTACATTTTTTAACAAACTTCACAAGGATGTTCACTCAAAGAAGGAATACAAAATTTTTGCAATCTACAAATTATATAAGGGAAGCAACTGAGTGAAGAAACTCAGAAATGTGAGAAAAGGTAGCTCTACAGGTTAACAGGTGTATTCCAATTTACATGGTGAAAGCAATTGTCTATTTTTCAATATTCAGGGAACATTTCCATATTTTTTTCTTTAAAGAAAAGGTATAATTCCAAATCATAAACCAACTGAATGAGCTAACTGTTACATCATAGCAACTTAATTCAGTTAAGCCTTTTCATAAATTCATTAATTTAAGGATTGATAATATACATACTTCAACCTACAATTTCACGCACAACAAGAATTGATGGAATGCATCCTCCTTATTAAATTGGATGCTGCTTTTTAATTTGCAATCACTCACAGGACTGACCAATTACCAATTCATGATCCTCAAACTTGTTTAGAATACCATCCAATTTGTCAGAGATAATCCTAAAACGATCAAAGGAGACAAATGTTAAACACTCAGCCAATCAAACACGAAACAAAGAGGGCCAGTGCCAGGAACATATAGCAGAATGCAGCCTCATCCACCACAAGATGACATCAACTTCTCTCCAACTTGCCTCAAACTTGCTTCAAAGTCTATCATCTTGAATCTCAGGTTACAGAATTACCCCGCCTTTCTCTGCCACTCCAGTAGGCATAAAAGGGGATTGGTGAAACTGTTAGTCATGCAGGTCATATCGTGTTGGTGGAAAGAAGCAGACATAAAGGAAGGACAAATTATGCAGTAACAAGTGGATCAAGATAATGGGAAACCAGACGAGAGAAGAAAACCTACTTTTCAATAGGGTAATGTAAAGCATACAATATTACTCCATTTCTCATTTTCCCTCGTTTTTGGATCATAATCCCGGTTACTACTGCCAATAGAAATAGCAATATGTAGTTTCCAACTGAGTTTCCAAGATAAACCAGACAAATTTTTTTTTTCTAGTCTAAGCAAAATTTTATATAGGGCACTAGCTTCTAAGATAAAGACAACTAGATATAACTTATATAATCATCACTAAACAAACAGTTATTATTCCATTCCCTCATTCCCATAACTAAATCCTACAAGACACCATGCATTCCGTTAAACTTATTCATTTTTAGCCAAACCAAAACTGTTTCTGAAAAGTATATCCAAGATAATTCTTCAATGCATGATGCTGCAAAAGATGAACATTCAGTTGAAAAAGACAAACTAACACTCGAGGCTTCCCAAATAATATCCATGTTGACCATTTGCGCTTAATAACAGTATAATTTAGAAAGAGGGAGAGATATGCATACTTACAAAGAACTTCATGGGCTGTCAACCTCTTTTTGCGGTCCCTTAAAAGCATTCTTCGGACCAAGTCCTTTGCACTGTCAGAGATACTAGGCCATGGCTCTGATATAAAGTCAAGTTCACCTTTCAACACCTGCTCAAATATCCCTTGCTCCGTTTCTGATGGAAAAAAAATAGCATCCGTACCAAATAAATTAGATGTAATTCAAAATGCCTGGAAGCATTTACTGAAGCTTCCAACTAATGAAGCCACAAGCAATAAAACACTCACCATCCCAGAATGGGGGGACTCCACTAAGTAAAATATAAATGATCACTCCAGCACTCCAAACATCACATTCCGGGCCATAGTGCTTCTGCAACACTTCTGGAGCCACATAATAGGGACTTCCTACCACATCACTGAATGTTTCACCTAGAGGAAAAAGAATTAGCTCCCAGACAGTAGAGTAGACTTGACATAATAAAATTTAATGAAATCCACTATAATGATGACTGGCTCCAAGTAAACAAAGGCAATGATCACACTATGAGCTGGCTAGACATGACCATACTCTAAAGATGAGCAATGGATATATTGCTATATGTGTTGGAGTAATCCATATAATTACTTCCACATAGCCAAGAAAGGTAATGGGCATCGCACTTATTCTCCCTTCCTTACTCCCTCCCCTTTTCTTCCCCTCTTTGCTTTCTTTGCTGCAAGAAAGAAACTGCAAGTTTAATGTGATGTGCATTTCAAGCCTAGTCAGGTAATTTGATCTTTCTCAATCTGTAACTGGTAGAGTCACCACAAGGGCTCCTGATGTTGTTCTCCCTCACTTGGATCTAAACCTATTTTATTTACAAATAATTTCTGTAATTGCTCATGGTGATTAAGGACTGCATATACTTCTCTGTATTAATTAAGAATTTCTTAACAGTATGAATATAATGGAATTCGTGGTTTGTAATTTAAGATAGATGAAAACCCCGTGAGACAGTAAACATAATGAGCAAGTATAATGCTTCTCCGAATAGAATTCGTAATCTTAGATAAGTTTTGAATTTCACTTCTAAGATGAAACGCTTTACAGGACATTTTATTCTAGCAGTTGGGAATTATGATTTCCTCATACTAGAGAGAGAAATTTTATGTTCCACAATCACTCACAAGGAAGAATAATCATGTATAATATAAACTATGAAGTAGGAATCTGAGCACTCAATAGTTTCATAAACAAAATGATCAAGATGTTACATAACAAACTTTAGTCCGAGTCCAAGAAGGTAACAAAATGTTCACTCCAGCATTTATTAAGCAGCTGTTCATGTAAAAAAATTATCGCTGGCAAAGTGTTAACTATGTTCACGACAGCAAAGTGGCAAAAATGATCAAACGGTTCCATTTATGGGGAATTCAAATGAAAGTTTCAAATTCTACTGACACTAAAAGATTTTTCAACGTGAAAAAAAGTGATCATTTGGGAATACCTGGCTTGAAGAACATTGAGAGTCCAAAGTCAATTGTTTTAAGTGGTGACTCCTCTTCATGGTTAATGAATAGGAAATTTTCAGGCTTTAGGTCTCGGTGCATAACACCCAGAGAATGGCATGCTTCGATAACACCAACTATTATCCTTGCAAGCGCAGCTGCCTTTCTCTCTGTATAATGCCCTCTCTGAATAATTCTATCAAAAAGCTCCCCACCTGCACAAAGCTCCATAATAACATGAACAGCAATGGCATCCTCATAAGCACCAATGATTTGTATCACATTGGGGTGACCTGCTAAATGGTGCATAATGTGAATCTCCCTCCTAACATCCTCCACATCCTCTTTTGAGGTCAACTTCCTCTTGGCAATGGATTTGCAGGCAAACTCTTTTCCAGTGCCCTTCTCCACACACAAAAATGTTGTTCCAAATTGCCCTTGCCCTAGCTTCCGCCCCAAGCTATATGTATCCTTCAAATTCCCAGTTTTCCTTCCTAACACTGACTCAATTTGCAACCCCACACTTGACACCCTCTTCATATGATGTGGCTTTTTGGCTTTCGATTCATCTGAAGCCTTATTACCCTCCTCAGTAACCTCTCTTTTTCCTGGTTTCTCTGGTTCAACCGTCTTAGATTCCTCATTGGTGATCTTGACTGGTTCAGGGGGTTTGTTCTGGATTGCACCAGAACCTTGAGAACCGCCAGAGCTCTTGGATTTAGATTCATCAGAAACTGCATTTTCCTGACCTTTTTGGTTACTGTTATCATCATTAGGTGGAGGTAACCGGTCCTCAGGTGGCCTTTGCCGCCAAACCGCCTGTGTAACAGATTGCAAGAATCCACCCGCACCCAGATTATTTGGTCCTACACATGTGTTCCCCATCAAAATTTCCCAATCCTCAGGTCCTTATTATCAACTCTCTCTTATGAATTCCAACATCAAAATAGGTCCTTGATAATTCCATTAAAGAGCAAAAAAAAATCAAATCAAATCTCAAGCTGTGAGAACAGATCACAGGCCTCGAACAAATCCCCAAAGTCCTGCCTTTTTCTGGACCAAACAGCCTGTTCTAGGACAACCCACAAATGGCATTCATCATTTCAAACTAAAGAGATCTCAAATTCTGACGTTCTGTCATGAATTCAACAGGAAGCAAAGCAGAGGATTTGCTGCAAATCTCAAAATTCCAAAAACCAAACGGGAGCCAACGTAGTAAATTTTAATCTAATTTATATAATTTGATAATTACAACAGAATTCTAAAACACCAGAGCCAAAATAAAAGGAAAAAAAAAGAATGAATTATATTTATAGCCAAATTTGAAGAAGAAATGAAGAGTAGGCAATAGACCCAATGTTGAAAAGGGTAGCTCAGAAGGTTACAAAGAGATCAATTTGCTTTGAATTTCCTCCATCTTCAAACAAAATACCGGAGATTCCATATCCAGGTTATTAGGAAAAGAATGAGAATAAGAAAATAATGGCTAAAAATTCATAATTACAGAAAAAAAAAAAAAAACCCTGTTACCAAACTTATTATTATTGAGATTATCGTTAAAAAAAAAAGTGTTTTCATGGATTGGGTATTTGGGTTATCGTGGTTAAGTGGCTTATTGCATGCATGAGAACTTTGACCGACCAACGTAAGAAACTAAGAATGTATGTTTTGTTTTTTTTTTTTTTGGTCTTAGGATTCATACGCCATCTAATGCAGTTCCCTATGCACGTATCCATCCAATGATTTTCATTCTTTTCAGAGTTGTTATTCTATATTGATTTATGAAATTAAGGTGAAATTTATTATTGTTTTGAATTATATTGAATTATATTCTTAAGAAAAAATAATGTTGAATTATAGAATAGTGTTGTTCGGCTTAATTTGTTTGGTGTAAGTATCTAATTCATTTAGGCAAAATATCAATATAACCTTAAACTTTGCTACTTTATTTAGATAAATTTTTATATTTTTATTACACTTAAATAAATTTTTAAATTTTAATTTACATTCAAATAAACTTTTAACTTTTAATTTATATATAAATAAACCATTAATATAAATCAAAATTTCATTTGAAATAAAAATTTATTTAAATATTTATTAAAAATAAAAAATTATTTAGATATAATAAAAGTGTAAGAACTTATTTTGTATATATCAGTGACTAACAAATCTAAGAATCCAAATTCCTTCCTTGCTTTTCTCCACTATAAATTATAGGCCTATAACCTATTTTCTATCTTTTCAAAGCTCCAAGAATAGATATGGAGCTGCTACAAGGTCATGGTCAGTGAGGCCTGAAACATATATAGCCAAAATGCAAAAGAAATTTGTAACTTCAGTTTTGAAAATGAGGTTTGCTTGGTTAAATTTTATAGTAATTCAAATCATATATATGTATATATACATATATATATATTATAAGATTTGCTGTTGGAATTATATATATTCCTATTTGAAGAACAAAATTAAAGAATCGATTATCATGCAATAATTTATTTATATAATTAAAGATTATATTCTCTCATTACTTTTTTTAGAAATAAATACGAACCCTTATTTTCTTATTATCCAAGAACATGATGAAGACTAGAAGCCTAAGGAAAAACGACAAGTACTGAAATTTGGTTTGACAATTCGGTTTTCTTATAAATTTTATACTAATTGGAACATCAGAATTTCAACTTTAACCACTGCACAAATGAAAAGCAAGAAACCCTGGATCGGTGCATTTCATATGTTCTGTCGTTTTTATGGCAAAAAATTTGCCTTTAATTGTGAATTACAGTAAATGGATGAAACTAGTTCAGTTCTTGATGAGGAGAAGCATGCTTTCAGAGGATAAAATTGAGTTAAATTATTAAATTGTGAAAAATAAGATATACTAAATCATAGAACTTTCTGAATACTATCTATTAGTAACAACAAGTGTACTTTGTTAATTAGAATATTCCTTCTATTGAAAAGAAGACATAAATTCAAAGTTCAATTTAATTGATTTATATTATCATTTTTAAGAGATAACATTCAATAAATTTGAGATATATATATATCAGTATTCGTAACTTTTTCTCATGCTTCTTACCGTGACTTATTTTGCAAAAAAAAAAAATGCATGAAATGTAAATTATAATGAATTAACATTTGACTAAACTTTGAATTTAATTTAATTAGCTAATGCAATCACTTTTAAAATGTAACATTCCACGTATTTGAAATTTGAATGCTACCACATGCAATTTTTTCTTTTATTTTAAAACTATGGCCTCTTATGTAAAAATAAATAAATAACACTTGGCTGAGGATTTCAAGCTGCCGCAGTTTGATTTCTGTCATTCTTACCAGCAGGCAGAGGGGGAAGGCTCGAGGACAGTAGCTTGTTAGAACTGAAAGCAAAGTTGGTTTTATATTTGGAATTTGGGATTATGATCAAAGAAGAAAATAAATTGGCTGATTATTTTGACTTGACTGAATTTGTCAAATTCTCTTGCTATTAATTGTACAAACATTTTCTTTGGATTCCTCCAAAACACAAAGACCTATTCAAAAGCAAACCAAATTTTTTGGAATTTTCTAGCAATCTCTTGTTTTTATGTGGATGGACTCTTTCTTGCTTGCTGCACTATCAAGATATTAATACATGGTTGGTCTCTATGATTGAGCCCAAAATCAGTTCAGTGTCCAACAATTTTGTAGCCCTAAGAAAAAAATATATAGATTCACTTTAGCCCTTCCCAATGAGTTGTAACAGTGAAAGTCGTGAAATCGACTGCAGCACTAGAAGTAGAAAGTTGCAAGGTCCGAGGCCCTTGCAGCTTTAAGAGTAAGCAACTCTTCATCAACGATCAAGAAATCATCACAGAATTTTCCAGATCAAAGCAGGGTTAATCCTGTTGTAATCTATCTGAGATCGCCAAAGATTATCCATGCAAGATCGGACGAATTCATGAGCCTCGTGCAACGCCTGACGGGAAAGGACTCAACGAATGAAAAATCTTATAATATTCCATCATCGCCATCTTCTTGTGAAGAACCCACGGCGGCCATGGTGACTGAGAGAGGTAATTTGTTTGATGCAGAAATGAAGAAGCCTTTCAATGAGATTGATTATGGTGATCTTGATCAAATACACGTTCTTGGAATGTCTCCAACTTGGCTGCGTTTCTTATCTTGCGTATAAAACATGCGTTTCACCGTGACATTAGTTGTTGTAGATGATTATTTTTGTTTAAGATATAAAGATTGTGGTTGCTTGCCGCATGCATATTCTTAATTGTGAACTGATTTTTATGTATCTTTGGGAAACTTCTTTGTTTAAGTTATTCTATATATTACTATAATTGATGGATAAACTTGCATTTGTGGCTTTCTGATCTACACCTTTCTTCACATTTGATAATGGCTATCTACCTAGTTAAGTAATGAATAAACAAAATCCTCCGGAATTGAATCTAACTAATTCATATAATTTTAAGAGGGGATATTTAATAGGCATGCGATTCGAATCCTAACAAACATAATTTTTTAACAACCTCTTTTGTAAAAAAAAATATAATTGAGAATTTCATTTCATTTTATTAGATTTCTTTTGATTATTTCTCAAAAATATATGGCACTTCTAGGATGTTGAGGTTCTATTTTAGTTTTAATATCTATGTAAGTTGATTTTTCTTTTAATTTTTTTATGCAAAGAACAAATTATATTTATTTAATTAAATATTATAAATAATAAATTAAAAATAATTATTTTAAAGTATGATTTTTAAAAATTGTTTGTTTGTGGGTTGTTGCAAGATAAAAAAATTTTATTTAAATAATTTTTAAAATTTGAAAATATTTATTTTTTTTCATATCTTAACATATACTAATAGTAATATAATTATATTTCATTAATAATTATAATTTTAATAATAAAATAAATTTTATTAAAATTAAATAAATTTAAATTAATTATTCATAAAATATAATTTATATCATAAACATGTTTGTAATTTAAATTGATATGCATTTCATTTTATTTTATAAATTGACCGATACTGATATATATATATATATAATTACATGATAAAAATTGATTATGTAAATGCTTAAGTGGTTAGTCTCTTTTAATGACACATAGGACAATACTTTAATTATTTTATTTATTAAATAAAATTCTTTAATAAATTATTTAAATTTAAATAAAAATCTATCTTATATTGAAAATTTTACATAAATTTTGAATTCAAACATATTAAATCATAATTTATATTTTCTTTTTAAATTTAATCACAGTTTCAAATATATACACTTAATAAATTTTTTACTTTTTGCCAAATAATTCTATTTAATAAATTATTTAAATTTAATATTTTTGGATAATTATTTCCATCAAATCAAAATCTATCAAAAATTAAAAATTTAGCATAAATTTTAAATTCAAATGTATTAAATCTTAATTTACCATTTTTTCAATTTAATCATGGTTTCAAATATATATATGTGTATATATATATATGTGTGTGTGTGTGTATGCTTAATAAATTATTATTTATTGAAATTAAAAGTAGAAAACAAAAATAAAGAGCATAAGGGAAACTACCCCGTTCAAATCAAAATTATTTTATTTGTTATTATCAAAATTAGAATTTGAAAAAGATAAATTTTTTTTTTAATTTGACGATTATGGTTTATTAACAAAAATTAGAAAGAAATGGAAGTGAAATTGTACTTTTAAACAATTCAATTAATTTTCTACCTTTATTACTCCTCAATTATGGTTTATATTAAAATTAATAATTAAACAAAAGAAAACAAATTGAAATTTGAATTGACCAGGTATTAGAATTTTTTTACGACTTATAAGATGGATGACTCTAAGTTAATGAATTATTGATTATAAATCATGTACTACTAAAGTAATAAAAGTTTACATCTTTATATGAAAAGATGAGACATTTAAATATTGTTAGAAAAGTTAGATAAAAGCTACTAAAGTAATTAAAAAAAGATGAGACATTTAAATATTGTTAAAGAAGCTAGATAAAAGCATGTTTTTGTTTTTAGGAACAAATTTAATGTTTTATTTATATTCTAATTCAAATATTTTTATATTATATAATATTTAGTTAATTTATTTGTTTTTCTTTAGTTCATTATTTTTTTTATTTTGTTTAACTTGATTATAATTAACTTTTCGTATTATATTATATTACTTTATTTATTTCTTTTTTTTTTGTTAATTCATTAACATATTTTCTTTTATTATTTTATATTTTTAATTTCAAAAAATTAATATATAAACTTATATTCTTCATTTTCTTTTGGGGCACTTTTTGTTATTGATTTTCTTTGTTTACAACGGATGCTATGAGAAAAATGATGATCACTATCATATCCGACCTACAAAAAAAATTCTATCAATTATGTTAAAAACTATTAAAAATAAATACTATTTTTAAAAAAATATGTTTTTAAGCATAACATAAAAAATTATTATTTTCCTCTTATCTAGAAAAAATAATTTTATTTTGTTGACATAGAAATAATTGTTAGGCCAATATATTTGTGTGATAATTACTTTAAGTATATAAAAAATAAGAACTAATAAAAAGTAAATGGTTATAATCAAATTAATAATATTGTGATTTGTTGTTCAATCAAATATATATATAAATATAAAATATTATAATTCAATAGTTTAAGAATATTCTTCTAATATAAAATATATTTCACAATTTAATCAAATGATATATATATACATTCATATCAATATTATTATAAAAGCAATTATTAATCTTAACTAGTTAAAAATTGATTATTGACTTTTTATCAAACAAGAAAAGAAGTGAGAATAAAATTTGTAGTGTTTAGCGAATGAATTGAAGAAAAAATATTTTTTTTATGAAAAGAAAGGATTTTTATAATTTTTGCAAAATTTATAAAAGTTTAGATTTTTTTAAAAGAATAGTATTATTCATAATAAATTATACTTAGATTATCATTTAATTGTAACTTATCATTTATGAATGTATGATTATATTTAATAGATCCATAAAAATTTATATATATTTTTATTAAGATAATATAAAAAATTAAAATTAATTAAAAAATAAAAGCTAGTTTGTTGTATAAAAGAGCATAAAAAATATTGGGCCTTTAAATTAAACAAAAAGGGCCAGTACATTGCAAAATGGGGCTAAGTCCTCGGAAATTTACCAAGTAGGTTCCCAAGGTAGGCAAAGCGAGCCACGTGGCATACTTTAGTAGCGAGTTACGCTCCAATTCCCAAACCAGAACCACCGTCCTTTAACACTAACGGCATTCTGCCATATTAAAAACGATCGACTAACGCCGTCAATTGCAGGAGGGAAACCAATTGTTCAAAACCAAAAGAAAAATCCATGAAACTCATAAAAGACTTTTCACTGTCTCCACTTCAGCGCAATATCTCAGGCCCTCTCTCTCTCTCTCTCTCTCTCCATATTTTGCCCTAAACATTTCATTTAGTTTTGGGCAGAGCAAAATCCTTTTTTCAAAACCCTAGATTTATATCCAATTAGGGCATGCCCAGATTCTCTCGGCTCTCTTACCGATGCATATCTTCGTGATTTTTTCTTCATAGAGGTAAGACATTGAAATCTTTGTCAGCAATCTATTTTTCTTATTTGAATTTATCAGCAGCAAAATGCACATATTCTGTTCGATGATTTGCTTTTTTTTTTTTTTTAATAATTGAAAAAAGGGCATAATTGCTGGTATTGCTATTGCTATTCCAAGGCAAAGGAGTCGTGGCTATTGTTCGAGCCGACTTTCGAATATGGCGAAGGTAGCCCATGGTGCCTTAACTTCTACCTCGCTACAAATTGGCGGGGATGCTCTTAAAGTTGGTCTAACAGTTAAAAGGAAGACCCCTTCGGAACTCAGAGTATTGCTTTTTTATCCTTTTTTATCCTCTAACTCGTACTAGCATCGTTGCGATTTGCCATTTCGGTTTACCTTATCTGTTATGAATATGATTGAGTTCATTGTAATTGTTTAGGGGGCAGGATTTTTTTTGACAATGCTATGGTGCTATTATCCAAAGAGATAAATTTATTGTTACTCTAGCATTAAGTTAGTTTTTTTTTTTTTTGTTCTCATTAATCAATCAATAAAATCTTTTATTTTATTTTATTTTTAATTTGAGAGAATAGTTCACTGCTTTAAGTCTACCTTAATTCTGCCAAATTAAAGCTATAAGTGTGATATTTAATCTTTTCATCCTTCTCGTGTGCAATTTTCTTGTGTTTTCTTATTTTGCAACTGTACCTTTTTATATTATTTAGTTATATTATTTAACATGTTTAAATTATTTAGTTTAATACTTGAAGGAGCCAATGCTAATTGGACTACAGTTTAGTTAAGCTTTATAATAAATGTTTACTTATCAGGGAGAGCAGTTAAGGCAGACGAATATTGCAGAGCTTGTTAATAAATCTTTGGCTTCGAGGTAAGTGTCGTTCTTCCTCGTTTCTTTTCAATAAGTTTTCTTTTTTATTTTTTAAGTTACAACTATCTGGGAACTTTGCTTTTCTCCATTAGCAGTGCTAGTGAGATGGATAATGGACTCCAAAAACCAGATCTGCCAAGGAATCCAAGATATATTGACACCCGTATGGATGGAGTATATCCTGCCAAGAAATCAAGGTTCAAACTGCTATCAGGAAAAGAAAATGCCAAGGTTATTAATCCAGAAAATGCATTTAACGGAATATCTTCATGCAGCTAAAGTTTTTAGTACTCATAAGTTTATAACTAATTCAGTCGTTTGTTCAATTATGTTATTCTTTAGCAGGAAAATAGTTCAATTGAACAACCTAGCAGCCTAAAGAAAATCTCTGCACTTTCAAATTTGGCTGCCAAGAGAAGGCAACAACTTTCATGGTATTTCTATCAATCCTAGTATCCCATACTTGGCACATAATATGTAGATTTATTCTTTGATTTTAATAGTCATATGTTGTTGCTTTGCAGTCCAGAGAATTCTGTTGCTTCTGTTGATGTTCCAAAAGATGATGTGCTCGATGCCCACCGAACACTTGAGAAATGTAGTCAGGGTACATTTCTTAGTGTTACTGAGCTCTCATCAGGGGGTCAAAATTTATCAGGCTTGGCAACTGTTGATATGGTATGTGCATTTATCATCTCCAAGATTTGATTACTTAAATTATGTTTTTTTTTTTTAATAAAGAAACCACCAATTGTTTTGTAGGATAAAGCATTGAAAGGACTAGCTGCTTGTCAAGCAATCCTGAATATACCTCCTGAGTCTTCAGAACGATTTGATGATCTTTCAACTGGAAACTTCTGCTCTGAATTCCATGTGACAGGCCAGAAGATTCCTCTGGATTTTACTTTGAAAACTTATATGCGATTGGTGTCCTCCTCCTCAGTGAATTGGTGAATAAACCTGTTGTTTTTCTTCATTTTTTTTATATTTTTTCTACTTCAAAGATAAGGTCACTCCTGGGATAAGTTCCTCTCTCTCTGTATATAATATTATATATCATAAAATCATGTTTGTTTACATTACCTCCTTGTTCATATGTTACTGTCTTTTTGTTTTGCAGGGTTTGTATTTTGCTTGTTTATATAACTTCATATTGTTTTTGTGATTCCAGGTTAAATAGGTCAATGATGTGTGGTATGTATAATGGTATGCCTCAATTTACATCCCATCTTGGTTCATCTGAAGATCCCAATATTAGTAGTGTTTCACAAATCAGACTGGCATCCCAAGTGTTGAATTCTAAAGCATTGCATTCGTGGATTTATCCTCAATCTACCCTACCACCATCTCTCATATCAATATTGGTCTCAGCAGCAGCAGATGGAGGTTTGTTTAATGAAACTTTTGAGTTGAATTCCCTCTTCAAACCCTCCATATTTGTGCACCAACAAACACACGCCCAGAATGTTCCTTCCCCATTCTTTCTCCTCCTATATGAAGTTATCTAACTGATGTTGTCCCTTGTTCTCCAGTTGAAATGGATTTCTTAAGAAAGCGACTCGGGGCATGGGAGGAATCATTTCGGAGTCTTTACTATATGTTTCGTGAAAATGTTTGTAGCATCTTTTATGGTAAATATTTATTCATGCTTATGACTTTTTCCTTATCTATTGTGCACCTTTGAAACCATGTTCCAATCTTCTCACACTGTTGGTTGAGCCAAGTTCCATGGATGATGTTTTCTCTTGGCATGAGAACATTTAAGTAATATATTTCATGCACATACAGATGTCCATAGCTTCAAATCCAGAAGTGCTTGCATTTGTCATGCTCGGTTCTATTCTGCTTGAGTCACATTTTTGGTAAATACCATACCCATCTCATGCATATGCTTACTCAGGGGATAATACTTGCTATGGGTTGCTGAGTTATTTTTAAGAAGAAAATATGCATGTCCTCTTGATCTGCGAAGACTCTAAATCCTACTTGGTTTTGTCCTTGATTTCAAATTGTCTTTTCTTCTTTTGATGACTGAATTCTGCATGAACTTTTATGGAGTGTAATGCTCAATTACATTAATGTTTTTTGAAAGTATAAAACTATATCTTGGTAATGATCACATTGGAAACTTTCTAGTGTGCACTTCACATTTTGTGGTGATGTTTACTGCTGCTGATGGTTCGGGAAGAAGTAGAAGATCATATCATGCTTATATCTCCAAATCAACTAGAGGTTTGAGGTCGTCACTGAAAGAACATGTAAGATGCCACTCATAACTAGTTAAGCTATTGCCAGTGCTCGTAATCATGATTACAATAAAATTCTGTGGACAATTGTATTTGATGAAAGTTGTATTGAACATGGCCTTTTAGAGATTTCTGTAAAGTTATCCTGGTCATGTGATATTAACTTCTAAGGTGGCAAGCAGTTTGCTTCTCATATAGCTTGTCAGCATTGCTCTATGAAAGTAATTATTCTGGTCTATAAATGCTTATTTATCATCCTAAATTCCTTTTTCTTTTTCACTTTCAGATGCAATCTAAATTAAAGTTTGTTTAATAATACTCTAAACCAATTCATTATAACCTAATAGTGGTGGTGCTGAGGTGGAGAACCATTAAGATGGCAATTTTGACACATCTAGCTACAGTTTCACTGATATGGGGCTTGGATTGCAGTGTTATAAAGATAAACTGACAGACTGATAGAGTACATAAAACCAATTTTGCTAATGTCAGCATGTAGAAAAGTTGCTGACTTTACAAACATGCGTGCAGTTATGGTTTATGTGGTTGCTAGTTCAGATTTTTGCTTGTTTTAGAAACACAAGCAGATACAACAGGAACTGGTTTTAGGATTTCTTATAAAGTCTGAAAACAACTTGTGACTGCAGAAGAGGGTATATGAGGAATAGGAGAATTTCCCTTTCATTTATTTAGTCCTCTTTCAGGAAGCTATAGATGTTGCCCCAATCAGTTGGGTACTTAGGCTATGTTATTTTGAAATATATATTCATCTTCTCCAATGCTGCTCATTTATATAGCCATTTTGATTAATTTTCATGCTTTATTGATGCCTGATGCTGTCATTTTTCCTCTACTGGTTTTGCAATAATGTTTCCTAGGATGTTTCTTATTCTATGCCTCTTTGCCGTTCTCAAGTAGAACAAGTGACTACAGAGGATCTGGTAGAGCTTTCAGAAATTGAGAAGCATAATTTGGGCCAGGTTTGTACATCTTTTTACACTGATAGTTTCTATGATTTGGCTTTTGACTGAGTTTATACCCTGGGAAGGATCTTGAGACTTTTGGTGCAGTATTTTGAGACATTGAAAACCAGACAATCAGTTTGATGCTTCAGCTGAGAAGTTGATCTTCTCCACCTGCTATTATTCTGGAATTGTTAACTGCTTGATATAAAACAAGTTTTGGTTTCTTGAAAAGGATTAGAGAGTTTTGATCTGAATGTGCTTTATTCTTGTTTCTTCTTTCATTTTCATTTTAGTTCCCCCCTTTTCACTCCTGCCTGTTGCTGAGTTGGTATCCCCAATTTCAAGTTTAAATCAGTACTATTTAACTTGTGACATAAAATTCAAAAATAAGTTTAGAAATATTTCTTATTATCACTAAGCACTCTTAGAAACTCACAACCTAAAGGATGGTGGTTCCACGCATTCATCTCCACAGTGATTGTGTGTTTCTAAAGAGGATGCTTAAACTAAAAGAAAACTTTGGTGTATTTATAATTAAAAATAAATTAATAGGATCAATTAATTCGGTCTATTCAGTTATCAATTTTGAATACTGTTAAACAACTGAACTAATTGAATAAACCATTTTCTCTAAACTAATACCAAAATTGAATAAATTGAATAAAATTAACCAAATTCGGTGGTTTTGGTCAGTTAAATCGGTTCTAACCGGCTAGTGCTTTCCCCTTGGTGTAAGTATTACAACCCATTGCTCAACATCATGAGATAACTATTCATGATTCTTGTGCTCAATTATTCATTGCACTATTTGCTAAAATTACTGCAGACTCGACGCATGAATTCCTTCTCTGATGTTGATAATACTCCACAGTCTTTACTGGCTGTCAGTGGAAATCAGAATGTACATGGTTTATATGAGATTTTGTTAAATTATAGGTGAGTTCCATTCATTTTTCTATTCGGAAGATAAGTTGTTCCATAAATTGAGTTATATGGTTTCTAGATTTCATTTGACCAGGTTTAAATAGATAGTACTTACCTTTTGTCTGCTTTTTCTTGCCACTGGATCTGACCATTTTCCTTGTAACCATCTTTAGATCTTTCTTGACCTTTTTGAATGCTGTGGATGTTCCTGTATTATATTCTCCTGTGCCATTTCAAAATGCTGCTCTTTCTGCTCCAGAGGTGAGTGGTGTTGCCAGAGACAAGATTTTTGTCTTTGTTTAGCCTTTGTTGATTGTAAGTTCTAATTGTTTATTCAGTCGCCTAATCTGGTGTCACTGCCCTTGATACATGCTATGATCTTCTTGTGCACAACATCTTTGTTACTTTTAGGTTGCCGTTGAATAGCTGTTTGACACAAACATCATATTTTTCTTGTCATGTAAAATAAGAAGTGACAGAAAACTTCATCATAGTTTCTTCCCACTTGTTGCAAAACTTGGTTATATGTTTCTATGTCAATTTTGGTGTTCAGGTTAGATGCATGGAGATTAAAAGAGCTGATCATGGTGCTGCTCTTCCCCAAGGATCCACCTTGAAAGATGGTCATTCCATGCCAATTTCATGTGCTGGCCTTTGCTATAGCATTGAAATCAAGGATTCACATATTCCCCCTTGGATTATCAGCAACATATGTGCTGTAATGGCCTCTGAAGGGCAAAGCTTTGAAGCAAGGTATAATATACTTCCTTTTCCTTGGATCAAATTATTGCATCCTATCAGATTTTTTTAACGTGAATTATAGGGTCATTTAAGTGTAATCTTAATGGATCTTCATTCTGTAAATGAATTTGCTAGCTACAACTGCGGAGTTAATCAATAATTGAACCTTGAACCGTTTTTGTTCTTTGTTTTGGATAAAAACTCCCTTGAAGTCATCAACTATTGTTTGGAATGATATTAAGTTGTACATCTTTTTCTTTTTCCTTTTAGTCAAATTCAAGAAGTTTCAGATGCAATTCTGGACTTCTGGTATCTGAATGGTTTAAGTTGTTTAACTCACAAATCATACTGTAATATCGTGTCAAATCTTTTCTTTTTTGAACTACCCGTTTATGACTGCTGAATCCCTGAAGAGGATATTGAAAAAAAAAAAAGGCCAACGAAAAAAACTATGCCATTACTCTCACCTATTTGTCTGATTTTATTTGGGTGGTTTTCAGCTTTACAACGGAGCATACTTCTGTTGGCTTAAATATTGCTGTTGGGGCAGTTTGTGAGATAGCTGATAGTGAAGCCACAGTAGGTGAAAACTCACAAGAAATAGCCTTTGCTTTCGGTATTCCTGAAGCTATTGTTTCCCCTTATTTACATTCAGGTTTAGTAAAGGGCTTGAACTACTGCAACGGTTCATATACGGTGTCTCTCTCTCCTGTATGACATTTTCATGCGAATGATCTCTAGAGAAAAAAACACTACATTTTGTTACCGAGGAGGCTTTTCCTGATTTCTTTTTGCTAATTGTAATTTGCTCTTTGTATATTCTCGTTTGATCTACTGTAATTAAGAGAAATCCTAATACTCTGTTCTATCCTATAAAGAATGCGTTTCATCAGACGCATTTCCAGTATAACCTGCCAAACTTATATTCTGAAGAATCTCTTCCCTTGTTGTTTCTATTATGTCTATTTCAGTGTGTGATTTATTTCCCATTGTGAACAAAATATTTGAGACTTTTATTTAATAAATGACATGCATAAAGCATGATTATACAAATTAAATTAACACTACTAAATTTTGGACTAAAATAAGAAAATTTTAAGAATAAATTGTACATTTTATTATTTTTGTATATATCAATTTATATGATTTTTAAAAATTTAAATATCAAAAATATAATTAACTCATTATGTCATGTTTTCAACTTAAAAGATATAATAGAAGAAGGCTCATCTTTTATAGATTTCAATACCATTTTTTCTTACAGAAGCGAGACCAATGACATTTTCCACATCTAATTGTGCAACGCTCTTATTGCATAAACTCTTTTACTCTCACTTTGATCCGAACCATCTCAATTCTGATATCTCTCACAAGGATACGTCCATGTTTCTAACCCAAGAATTAAAAACGTAGACCCGTGATACGTTGAATGTGCCTTTCAAACTTTTTCTCATTGTTTCGACACTTCAATTTTTTTTTAAAAGATAAAACACAACTTACCAGCCATGATTGGAAGTCCTTAAATGGTATGTCTCCTCAAAGTTACTATAGAAAAGAATTGAAGTACAACATGGTAAAATTAATTAATGTCAAAACTGTTTTGAATAATTCATACTTTTCTCTTGTCATTCTCTGGTGGCCTTGACGGTTGTTCCTTTAGAAAGAAAACTTGAAAGCACCTACCTTTGAATCAGTCACTGAATCCCAGAAAGACATTTTCTTCTGCTGGGCCTTTTTCTCCTCTGCTTCCAGTGTCAGTTCATCAATTGTTCCAGGGAAAGATGCCTCTATAGCATTCTTAAACTTTTCATACAAATTTATTCTGTCTCTTGTCCCGGAAACAAGCTCGCTAGCATTTGGCTTCTTAAGAAAATCTAGAACGTTCAACAAATTTCTCCTGCAATAGAAAAAAAAAAAAAAACCAAATATCTGTCATTTTTTTCTTTTTCTGGCCATAATACGATATGTTACTTGTATATTTATTTTAGAAGAAAAATATCAAAAAATTAAAAATATTGTTAGTTGAATTATAAACTTTAAAACTAAAATGGCACAGGGAACAGCCCAAAATAGAAAACTCAAAACTATCATATATTAATGTTCTCTAATATGTAATGTCTCATTCAAACCATTTATGAGTTAATTAAAGATAATATAGCCTCGTCTATCATTACAAGGGAAGGTTCATTGCTGGATGCTCAAGAAGATCAGGCAAAAATACTAGCATCTGTGTGGTGCTATGGGACATTAGAAATGGTCAAAGAACAGCTGCCCAACTCGGGCTTTCTAAGCATCCTTCTAGAAATAGATTCACAGATAGTTATCCATGTGGTGAATTCTTCCAATACTCTAAAACACTTGCTGTTTTGTTGGATAATTGCAGATGCCTCATGAACCAGCTGCAGGAGATTCAAACTAGAAAAAAAATGGCCTTACCAAAATTTAAATAGTTGTTAGCAATAGTAAGCTAGGACAACCATAATTTCTTCAACAATAACTCAACCTCTGCTCTACTGTATATATCTATACCAGGCAAAGCTACCCTTCTTTGTTTTATCACTCAGAATATCACAATCACTATAATATTCTAAAGCCAAGCTTCAAAATTGGACTCAATTTATAACCAATTCTACACGCTATAGGATGTTGAGGGAATGGCAAAAAAATGGCTAATATTTTTCCTAAATTCTGCATGTATTTCTTCAATAGGGCACTTAATCCTAGCGGAAGTCGATGTCAAATGAGCTTCTAAAAGGTCAAAGTAGATGTATTTTTCGCTACTAATGTGAAAATTAAACTCAAAGACTGTAGTTAGTAAGTCTTCATAGACCATGGAATAAACTAATGAATAAAAGAAAGGTAAGGAAAAAAAAAAAAAGGCGTACCTGCTAACATAGTTTTGTGTAATGGCAATGGATTCTTCTAGGTTAATTACTAGATGCCACCATCCATTGGGCACAAAGATAACTTCACCAGCCTTACAAATACACTCAATAGGTCTCTTTTTCCAATTCTTTGTTGCACCATAAAAGTTCATGAACCATTCAATTATTGAAACAGGACATGCCACTTCCGCTCCATCAGGACTCGGGTGCACCCCTGGAGGAACCACATCAGGAGGGAATAAAACCCATTTCTTGGTTCCTCTGATCACCGCATTCCAAGCAGATGTCGAATTAGGATCAATATGGAAGGATGAACCAGACCCAGCTGGTCCAATTATAATCCACCTATAGTCTGGCCTCTCTTTGCCCAAAACACTAAACAAATCCTCTCTGAAGTACACTGGAACTTCATACTCCGAACCTAAATTAGGAATTTTTTCTGCAAATTTTGGATCAAATAAGTACAAGGGCCTCTCTTCTTTTACTTGATCCGAATAGCTAAAATAATCTTCTAGTCTCATCTTCACTGGTCCAACTGAAAACTGAACGTCACCACATAAATTAACTAAATAATCTCTATCCCACTTTCCCAATGCATCCCAATTATCTATACACCCTTCCAACAAAACTGGCCTATTTGGTTCTTCAAAAGTCACCACAAAATCATCCAAACTAATCCCTCTTTTTCGAATTATATTATCTCTTTCAAGCCATTCTGGTTTCATTTCAAGATTAGCACATAACCAACTTTGAAACAAATAATCAGAATAAAAATCCTTTACTCTCAGTCCAGAAAAACGGCTATTCCAGGAAACATCAAATGAAGGGCAAAAAGTAGAAATGTAGGTAACTTTCCATGACCGATTATACAAAAATCCTCCTTTTAGATTATCCAATACAAGATTCCTCCAAAGGGGTTCATGGCTAGTGAAAACATAAAAGGATTTGCTAACGGTAGCTAAAACTCCTAACTGGGTTCCTTCCAAAAGGCCTAAAATTTCCAGAACAAGCTCATCAGACAGGATTTGAAGATTACCTAAGCCAGTGTTTCTTGAATTAATAGAACCTGGGTTGAAATAAAGGTTTCCCAATGGCTGAACCCCATGAGAATGTGATGGGGCTGAGGATTTGAGGTTGAATCCTTCTTCTTCTTCTTCTTCTTCATTATCTTCAAGCTGCTGGTTTTTGGCAATGAATTTTTGTTTTCTAGAGATATTTTTGTTGGTTTTTAGTCTGGTTTTCGTTTTGTTCTTAGCTTTGGTTTTGGTTTTCCTTTTAATGGTTTGGGACAGTAAGCTTCTGCTACAGCTTAGCATTGTTTAAGGCTTTTTGTTGTTGAGGTTGCTTTGTTAGTTGCAGAGGGAAGGGTGTCATGAGGGTTTTGCTGTGAGAAAGGCCAGTTTTTTTTTTTTTTTCTATGAAACGGCTTCTGAGTTTAAAAAAAAATTTACAGAAATTTCTTTTTGAACAGTTTGCTTCCATAGACTTTGCCCACCTACCAAGGCCCATTTGGTGTCCGAAATTATCCGGCCCAAATTTTATTTTTCCAAAGAAACTAAATTATTGCAATGAATTTTTCTTCCTAAACCCTGGTTAACCCTATCCATATATTTATTTGCATCATCTTAAGAGATTTTTTTTTTTTTTTGGTTTTTAAGGGGGGAAAAACCATATAACAAGGAGAAGGGGGGAGGCTAGTGAACCCTAACCTTCGTGTCTTCTTAAGGCTCTCTTGATCATTAGATCAATAAGTTGAATATTATTTTAAAAAATTTATTTAATTTATTTATATACATGAAGTCGTAACTTGAGAATTGAAAAAACAAAATATTAGTGTTGAGATTTGAAACTCATATTTGCTTAATGCTATCACTTAAAAGTCATAAGGTATTATATTATCTATCTTTAGAGTTTGAATATATTCCTTTAAGATTTAATAGTATGTATCATGCTGCAGCCCTAAGTGTATTCATCCTTTGTTAGTTAAAAGCCAATGTTATTTGCTATTGCTGATGTGTTTTTTTTTTCTTTTTTTACCATTTCATTGTGTGATTTGAGAAATACATATTTTCTGATTTTTGCATGCATGCTAAATACATCTTTACAAATTAAATATATTAATACAAAAATATGAATGAATGTAAAAGCTTATAGTTAAGTTGTAATGTAAATACATTCTATTAAAAACTTATCTGCTAATTAAAAAAAAAAACTAATTAATTGTAAAAGCTACAGCTTTTTCTGTATAATACATTTTGAAAGAATGTTATGTATTTTATACATACCTAAAGCTTATAAATATCATGATGCAAGTTGCAAAAATGGGTTGAAAAGTCAGAAATATTGAGCAAAATAAGATTATAGTTGACCGTGTTAAATATGAATGTGTTCAGCGTGTAACTTTAAGAAAATAATAATAAATCTCAACATGTGGGATTATGAAAAATCTTTAAGAAAAAATCTGGGAGAATGAAGCAAAGTTAGACCAAGTTTTTTTTATTGGATTTTGAGTTGTTTTGTATTTAAAGTTTTATTTAGATTCCAATAGTGAAATAATAAATTGTTATATCTAATTTTACTGTTATCATTTGCATTTAAATATATATTATTATCACTATTACGATATTAAATCTCACTTAATCTCACGACCTCAATTATTTTCAATATCTAAATAAACCCTAAGCAAATTTAGATCAATTAGACTCCAATCAATTAGATTTTCTACCATCCTTTTCCTTCCATATTTTGGATAAGATAAAAGAGAAATATAAGTCATTTTCCTCTAACCAAATTAACCAAAGTTATTAAAAAAGTTTATCATTTCCTTTCCATTCCCCTCTTCTCCCCTTTGCTGGAGGGCTGGTGGTAGATCGTTTGCTTTCAGTTGTTCTCATCCATACAGTTGAGAAGCAGGAATTAGTTCATCATTATTTATTTGTCACCATTAATGATAGAAGAGAAGACTGCAATCAAAACAGACGATTTTATTTATTTCATGCCCACTTCTAATTGTACTTTGTTTTATGACAAGCTTGAAAGGAGACTTCAAGGAAATGATATTATTACTTTAAGGGGTCATTGATTTTGGCTATGATCTGGGCAGTTTCCTCGTGTATTCGTAGTTTGGCTGGTTTAGGGGCAAAGAAAGTGCCCATAATCAAATCAAAAGCAAAATCCAGAAGACAGTCCAAAAGAGGACGGAGAAAACACATTACACAGACAAAATTCAAACAGGCAATTTAGAAGCGACTAACTAATGGCCTAAAACCGAATAACTTTACATATTTGTGGTTTAAGTGTTTTCCAGCCATGGCAATTACTTCTTATTACCAACAATAAGTACTACTCATGCAAAAACTTTTATTTTGCCAACAGCTGATGATAAGGTACTGAATTTTTAATTTTAATTATTAGGATTTAAATCTTAACAACCTTAAATAAATTAAAAAAAAAAAAATTTTTTCCTTTGGTCCAAACTCCCAACAATCTTATCAACGAACATTACATATTTGAGATAGCAATTCTTCACCTAGAAGCAGATATAAATAACTAAACAAATAAATACAGCATCCTACCCTCGTGTTCTACCACCGGCCATGGTCCAAAAACAAGCACACCTATACAATATGGAGGCGAAGCAACAGGCTACAAGGAGGGGTTAGGTTTTATGGAAGAGTCTGCTTTATTTGGATAAAAAATCAGGCAGCAAAATCCTACAGTACCTACATACCACAGCAGCTAATGGAATGTTGTTTGGATTAACATAAACAAGCTTTACTATTAGAGATAGACGGGGAAATACAGCATTAAAGGTTTCTTAATCAAAGAACCTGCATTGACAAAAGAGAATTAACTTTGTCAAAGTTTTCAAATTCAAAGGTTCTTTAAGATATTTCTTCGAAGAGGAAAAGCATATATATTCAAAGGAAAAAGCCGCAAGTAAAACAAGAACTTGATGAGGCTTGCATCAATAACTCTTGGGAACTAACCATTGCTTGAATTAGAAAAGTATAAATAATTCATAAGTGAATGAGATTCATAGATGAATCTGAAATATACAGGAAGAGATCGACAATAGATACATACCTCAAGATGATATCCAACAAATTATATAAGCTGAGTATGCTCACATGCATCCATGTTTCGCTGATCAAGCAGAAACATGTATTCAATCCCAAAAATAAATGAAATAAAAGAACACTGCACAATATACCAATTCTGCAACAAGGAATCCATAAAAGATGAGTGCAAAGTCTACTCTTGATGGTTTGATCAAATCCATTTGGCATTCACAGTCATGATTATAAGCTTCATGGAAGTAAAAGAATCCTTTTCACACTTGTGTGCTTGAAAGGCATCTCCACTGCCTCAGACGAGGGCCCTTATCCAGCAGCATTAGCAAGCCAACATTGTTTTGTGACAATCCATACAGGTACCTATATAATTAAAGAAGAAATATGGGCAGAAACGAATCAAACACCAGCATTACCGTTTCTCTAGGATATAATCTTCTGATAAACTTCAATTTCAATTTTCAAAATAAAATACAGTAATTAAACAGACTATAAGAGAATATGTAGTATAAGATATATACTGCATCCTCCCTGCACCTGCATCTTTATTGTTTCAGGACTAACTTTAAAAATGCAACTGCCTTAAATGATGGATGTTAAGAGACTGCATTACTCTTTCTTTGTTTATTGAACCAGAATAATTTATTTTGATTTTGATGTGCCGTAAAATGCAATAATAAATTGTTTAGATTTAACCTAATAATGCTTGCTTTTAGATAAATATTTAATAGAGCTAAAAAAACCAGAGAAACCAAAATATGTTAGGTTTAAAAGATGTCAAAACCAACAGTAACCATGCATATAACACATATTCTGCTTACTTGCTTCGACGTGCTTTCCGCCTCCAGAAAAAGAAGGACACAATCCACTAAAAGAAAAAAAAAATCAAAATACAATCAACTTTTTAGTGGCACAGTGGACATACATCAAAAGAAACACAAGGATGATCAGATTATGGAAAACATAGAATAGTTCTAAACACGAAACATTAACCCACGTTCTGTTTATGATGCTTCCATTGATGTAAAGAGCAACGTACAAATGAAGGGTTTCAAAAAAAAAAAATTCAATAAAACAAGTCAAAGACAGTTGACACTAAACAAGTACAAAAACAAACTTGTTCGAGAAAGCTTGCTCCATTCAACCGCTACCATGTCAAACTTGGACAAACATTGAAGGTAGCTATGTTACAACCCAAATTTGAATCTTCAATAGATGATTGCTATGCAGGAACTAAAATAATACCAGAGTTCAGTGGACAAAATGAGTAAAGGAAAGAAATAAGAAAATGGTAGAAACATAGTCAACGAGTTCAGAATACAGATATGAGTCGTCAACAGAAAGCGCAGGCATTTGATGCAACAAAGAATGAAAGATGAAGGTGGGGTGGGGGATGACCTATGGACAAGATGCAACAAGATGATGGCTTTTATTATTTATGTTCTTCATGTAAGCAAGGTACTTTTATATGTAGCTTATTTCTGCATCCTTCTATAGGTAGGAAGCTAAGACATTGTTAATTAGTCTCCTAAATATGCAACTCATCTTGAAAAACACCTTAAGGCCAGTGCATTTCTGACTGCCATAGAGATCATTAAAAAAAAAATGTTAATTCACAGATAACTGAGCACTCACACAGACGCATGAGAGAGAGAGAGTTGAAAGAAACTATATTGTAAAATTTCAATAATAAAGCAACATAAAATTCAACAATGCAAAAATATACAGATATGAGATTGTCAATAAAGAACTAGACCATATAAAGTATACCCAAAAAAATGTAGTTTATGCAAACAAAGATTACCTTGAAGACTGACATGAACGGAAGGCTACCAAGAATAGATGGCTTCCTCACAGTCACTTGTCTTTCTGGTGACATTTCCTTGCACAAATGTTGAGCTATTTCTTTCAATAAGACTAGCTGTGCTTTGTCAGTTCGCATTGATATTATTGCTTGTCTCATTGACTCCCTGTCCGCCTCAAGGGCCTGAAGCCTCATGTAGAGCTTCTTGATATCAGGATCACTGAGTTCGGGCATATTCAATGTCTCCCTTGGAATGGATGCATAATCATCAAAAATTCCAACTTCAGGTTTGGGTTCAGCAGTTCCGCTATATGGCACCCCATTATGGACAGAGTCAATCGTATAAACTCTGTCACTCATATCATCTCCAAATTCTGAAGCATCATTATCCGTTCTTCTTGAGCTGGAAATCTCTTCCATTTCTGAAACGAACTCCATCTTCTTGAAGCTAGTATTCAACCTGGGAGAACCAATGTTAAACCTGGGAGATTCGCCGGTAAACTCTGAACCAATCTCATTAGCCAGGACTGAATTTAAACTATCAGTTGAAAACCTTCTTAAATGTCTTGGTCGCCTAGGAGAGTGACCGACTATCACCTTCTCCAAAATATTCTTTGTTCCAGGAAAATCTCCATCCAGCTGACTCAGTTGACTGCTGCTGGGATTCCTCTCCATTTGATAGATCCTTTGCTCCAGATTCCTCAGGTGGTCTCGAGGGGTCTCGCTGAATGCATATTTCTCAACATCTTCAACATCCTCACCAGGATTCTCATTCAAATTGCACTTTAGACGTGGATAATTATATGCAGGAAGATCAACTTGGGCACCAAAGTTCTCAGCCACACTCAGATTCTTAATCCGTCCATCCTTCTCACCTTCAGCCTCTGCCTCCGTAAGCCCATAACTCATCATCCTATGCTTGTAAGCCTGCACTTCACAAGTAAGAGCTTGAATAGCCTGTTCTCTCTTATACAACAGATCCTCCACAGCCATTATCTCCAGCTGGTCATGTGCCATTTTCTCCTCTGCAAAACGCTTGAATTGCCTAGCCTCCATTTGGATCTCTGCCTTCTCTCTCTGCAACTTCAATATCATCGACATGGCCTCAGTTGCAGCAGATGATGAGGCATTTCTCTCTTCCTCCAATTCCGTATACAAATCCTGTATTGCTGCTTGCTGGCTACTAACCGTCTCCCGCAAAGCGGCACATTCATTCTCAATTTGGACTCTGGCATTGGAATAAAGATCAAACCCCGGAACATAAAACCCATTTCCAGTCTCAAACTCATCGTATTTTCGTTTCACAGAACGAAGCCACGTGCTCGAAGGATTACCAATGAAAGAACACGTAGTACAACTGCAATCACAACATTTCACCAAATCTCTTGGAGGTGAAAATACTTCTGACTCCATATATCAAAATATGCATTCAAACTCAAGCAATCGAATTATTTACTAACATTTAAAAAACACACGCAAAATAATGAAAAAAAAAATCATGTTCTCCCTCTCTTTAATCTTAGATCCTCCAATGAATTTTTCCCTCCTTTATTTTTTTGACTCCCCATTGGCTATATAAATTCCTCCTGGATCAATCAATCACAAAGAAAAGTTCCTGAAATAAACAATAAAACAACAAAATTAAACAAAAAAAATGAAAGATATGTAACTAAAGTTCCCTTTCGTAAATTTTACAGGAAAATAAATTTCTTAAAAATTACTAACTAAAGAAAGATAAATTATGTGATAATTTTCAGTTAGCATTCAAAGGCTAAAACATTTCTCGAGAAAAATCTTAACGAAAAAGAAAACTTCTAGGAAACAGAGGGGGGGGAGAGAGAGAGAGAGAGAGAGAGAGAGTGCAAGAAAAGAGAGAAGGAAAAATGCAACAAACCGTGGAAGCTGAGAAAGAGCTGAGAAAAGAAGGCAAAATTTCCCGGGAAAATTAACCTCCAGAGAAGAAAAATCAAGCCCTTTCTCTTTGTAATTCATTAAACTTCTTCTTTGAAAGAAAATCAATCGCCTCTCACCAAGCCGAGCCGAAAATATAACAACTGAAATGGTGTTTGGAGGGAAGGAAAATCAAAGAGGGAGAGAGAGAGAGAGAGATAGAATCAGGAGGGAAAAAATGAAAAAGAAAAAAAAAAAAAAAGGAGAAAGTGGAAACCCCCAAAAAAATTATTTTTTTTTTGGGGGGGGTGGGGGGAGGGGTTGTTTGTTGGGGAGGAGAGTTTTTGGTTTTTTAAGGTTTTCTCTATTACAGTGTCGACCAGAAGCGAAAATGAAGGAAGCATTTTTTTGGAAAGATAAGTTTAAAAAAAAAAAAGGTAAAAAATTTGGACAGTTGATGATGAAAATCAGTTGAGATTCGAATGATTGTAAGAACTCTTGATTCGTTGTTAAATGGTGGTTTATCTAGATGGATAGTTAAATCCGCGTTGTTTGCTGGTAATCTTAAATTGCTTAGCGTGAGCTTGTCTGTACCTTAGCTAAATTTGGCTAAAGTATTGACTAAATCATCAGACGCTAGATTAACTTAAAATTTAAAAATTAATTTTTAATTTCTTATTCATTAATATCAAATTAAACAAAAATGGATAAAAGTGGTTAATACTACGATTTTTTTAATTAAAATGTTTAAGAGATGGGAGATTATTATATTTAAAGGTTAGGATATGTAATAGGTTTAAGTAAAAATTTATATTTGATTTATAAATCAACATCAAAAGAGATTATTAATAGCAAAATCAAACTTAAATCTTATAAATAAAATATTTAATTTTTATTAATTCAACTGACCATAGTTGCAAATTTCTTTTGTCAGTTGCAAAAAAATATTTTGGGAAATTTTCATTAATTATATTGCTTTTTTCATAAATTATAAAATATTAGATAACATTAAATGAAGCTTGGCTTCTATTTTATTTTTTCCATCATACAAAAGCTACATTCAATGAAATAGTGCAAATATGGTTTATTTGTTTGTAATGAGCTATAAAATTAATGCTAATTAATAAATGTGCATTTCTCTTTTTATTTTTCTTTCCATCAAGCGTATTTTTTTTTTCTGGGGGTGGGGGGACTTTCTGGATACTTTATTTGCATATTTCTAATATCATTTATGGTTTTTTGTAGTTCAATTTGATTAAAAAAAAAAGAAAAATATATCATTTTATTTTTTTCTCATAAGCTTCTTGATATGACAAGTAAACTTATCTCGAAATCTTTTGGCAACCAAGTTATACTTAAGATCATACATTATTTGATTGAACACATGCAATAAGCATGGTACAAATAATCATTTTATATTTTATAAAATTGTATTGAGAAAATAAAAATTCATAAAATGAGATTTTATTTTACAAAACGTAAAATAAAAATTAAATATTAAATTTGTGTTTGGAACGTGGTAATTTTTTAGTATAAAAATATAAAAATACCATATCAACGATTCATGGAATTAAAAAAGTTTATGCCAGTAATTTAATGGTGAATTTTTTACTTTATTATATTTTGAGTTAAAATTTAAAATTTGAAAAATATATGAATTTGATTTATTTAAATTATTGTATAAAATTAAATTCTAATTTTGGTTAGAGTATAAATATTTATTTTTTATTTTTAAAAATAAAATTAAAAAATCAAACTTAGAAAACACAAAATAAAATGAGAGTACCGATGGTAAAAAATAAAGTTGTAATAATAATAAAAATAATAATAATATAAATGCCGCGGATTTCAACCAGGCTATTCTTTGGCTTGCCACGTCTTAATTTTTTGTGAGGATCACTTACTTTTTTATAAAAAATTTTAAAATTATGGAGCCCACAATTATTTTAAAAATTTTTTGGTGCGAGACTTACAATTTGGTTTTAATTTTTTTTCTGTTTTTCCTTTTTTTTTTTGAACTTTTTATTTTGATGTGGCCCACTTATTTTTTATTTTAAAAATTTTAAAAGGTGTGGATCTCACATTTTTTTGAAATTTTTATTAGTAGTGAGAGCCACACCTTGATTTTAAATTTTTTATTTTTAAAAATTTGAGGCCTATATACTTTTTATTTTTTAAAATTATTTTAAGGTGTGGGATATTTTTTTTTTTTTTGTGTGGGATTTACATCTTGGCCTTTTCAATCAAATTTTTTATTTTTTGAAATTTTTTAATTTTTTAGTGTGAAACCCATATTTTTTTTATTTAATATAAATATTATATTTATACATAATTAAATTTTAAATTATATATACCTTCAACCATCTTATAGATAAATTATGTATATATAGGGATATACATTATGCGTTACATGTCATCCACAATATATTTCTTTAAAGTTGACATATGTGATTTTTTTAATTTTTTAAATAAATCTTTTTAAGAGGAGGATCCATTTTCACAAATATTTTCCTTAAGATCCATTTTTTTGTTTTTGAATATGGGACTCACATTTTTATTTTTTTTTTGTGTGTGGGATTTACATCTTGGCCTTTTCAATCAAATTTTTTATTTTTTGAAAACTTTTTAATTTTTTTAGTGTGAAACCCATATTTTTTTATTTAATATAAATATTATATTTATACATAATTAAATTTTAAATTATATATGCCTTCAACCATCTTATAGACAAATTATGTATATATAGGGATATGCATTATGCGTTACATGTCATCCATAATATATTTCTTTAAAGTTGACACATGTAATTTTTTTAATTTTTTAAATAAATCCTTTTAAGAGGAGGATCCATTTTCAAAAATTTTTTCCTTAAGATCCACTTTTTTGTTTTTGAATATGGGACTCGCATTTTTTTATGGGATCTATTTTTATTTTTTTTAGTTTATATTTTATGTATTTTTATTATAATTATTTTTTAAATGAGGTCCATTCTTTTTCAATTGTTCGTTGAACTCTCTTTTGAGATTTTTTTCTTTAGTGTCATGTGTAATTTGTAATCTAGCTTACTTTCCAAATAAAGATATTCATTATCTATATCTCACTTTTAATTCTTACCTTTTCTTTTTATTTAAATGCTTTGCAATTAATAAAAGAAATGTATGATTTGCATCTTATATGTCTTAAAATTAGGATAATGATTGATAATTGAATAATATCATAGAAGATTGTACATTACTTTGGAAGGGATTGAAATATATAAAGGCAAAGATGAAACTTGCAAACCTTGGTAAGGACATTGATTTCGAAAAAAAAAAATCCCTTAAAAATGAAAACAAGCACTTATTTTGAATTATAAAGAATAGAGTTAGTTTTGTTCCCATTAGTGGAAACATAAAAAGTTTGGAATTCAAAAGAAAAGCCTTAAAAATCTATGTACCACAACTGAAAGTTCATTAATTATCATTTACACTGCATATATTGCATATAAGGATATCTTTTCCATTGATCTAGGGTTAGGACATCACAAGATTCAACATAGAAAATGCGAATGCAAAATTTTCAAATTCTCGATGGAGAAGAAATTTTTTTAGGTCAGATTTTTTTTTTCTTCAAAGAAAAAGCTTTTTAAAATCTTTGAACCTCTATTTAGAGGAACATATTTTATTTTTTAATCATTGAACTTTTTATTAGAGGATTCTAATATAAATTTGTTTAACCTCTATATAGAAGAGCCAATTTTTTAATTTAAAATTATCTAACCTCTATATAAATGAGCCAATTTCTTAATTTAAAGTTGTTTATTCTCTGTATAGAAAAGTTCATTTCTTAATTTAAAATTATTTGCCTCTGTATAGAGGAGTTTATTTTGTTAAACCTTTATTATAATAGTTATTTGAAGTTTTTAAGTTTTATACCTCTATTTAAAAGAGTTATTTAAAAATTTTTAAAAATTATACACCTTTATTTAGAGGATTATTTTAAAATTGCTTCAATTAAATTGAACTCAATGGTTGTCTATATCTTTGTGTCATTCTTGTTTCATAGAAATGTACAAAATGGGCAATTTTAGATATTTCATTTCGTCCGGGGCTCATAATTGAACTTTGATTTGGGTATTTTGAGCTTTCAAGGTGTCGATCGAGCCTTTAAATTGGTATAAGACCTTGAATTGATTCTATGCTTTAAGCCTAGTATAGGGTACCTTTTGATATTTGGGCTTTGACCCCACTTTATAATTACACTTCTGTTTTAATTAAATATTAATAAAAATTTATTTTAAAAAAATAAAGAAAATAAACGAAATCAATATTTTTTTAGAAAATCAATCCTAAAAATCATGGTTGCATGGAATTGGAAACAAAATTAAAAAAGAAAACATTGACAATAATCAAAACCTTAAATCAGAGTAAGGTTCTAAAAGTCAAAAAATTAACCCACTAACAGATTTCAATCCATGACAATCAATGATAAATCCCTAATATTTTCGTAAAAACGCTTATAAATCATGCTCAAATACACAAAGACATACATGTAGATTATAAAAAAACTATACAAAAGAAAAAAGCTTAGCAAATCAGAGGATTTTAGGTTCTAGGTATTTTGGTTCAATTTGGTTTATGGGAGTTTTGGAATTGAGATTTGATATTTTGGGTTGATTCTCTATTGGGTTTTAATTCTTAAGGATTTTTGGTTTTGGATTCAAGGTTCTATAAAGTTTTTCTTTTTTGGGTTTTCTAGGAAATCGCTAAATTTTTCAACAATACTTTGAAGATTTTGATGGCTGAAATATGGAATTCTTGTTGGTTTCTAGTTGTCTTTACCTTTTTGTAGGTTTGAGGTTATAAAAAAAAACAGAAGAAAAAAATTGTAGAGAAAAAAATGGGTAGGTGATTTCTGAGGAAAAAAAAAAGGTTTTGGTCATTTTATACCTTACCAAAACGATGTCATTTTGAACATTCATAAAGCTAGATTCACGTGTTTTATCATATTATCAAACAAACCCGATCGTGACCCCATTCAACTAACTTGTGTTTTTTTTGGCTAAAAGTCGAGCTGTGCCTCCAACCAAGCTTGAAGTCATGCCTAGCCTTTTTTGTGTCTAAAGCTTATCCATTTTTTCAAGCCAAGCTAAGCTGATTGCAGGTACTTTGTTTATTTTCTATTTATCTTATTTATTTATTCTACCATTGATTTGTTTTTTTTTTTTAATGCTTTTATAAGATATATTTAAATAAAATAGCTTTACCAACAGATTATAAGTCTAATATTTTCTTTTCAAAATAAGGTTTTACCAACATAGTGAAAAGCTTTACAAATTTTAAATTTTTTTAAAGCAATACTTTTTAAGAAAAACCTTATCAACATATTGGAGGACCAAAATTTTATTTTCAAAAATAATGTTTTATTAACATATTGGAAAGCCTTATAATTTTTTTGATAATTTTGAATAATATATATATATATATTTACAAAATTCTACCAACATATTGGAATATAATTTTCAACAGAAACTCTTACCAATATATTGTAGGATACTTCTAACTCTAAACCAAGTTTATAAAAATTCACTTATATAAACAAAATTAAATGAATCCAATGATGGAACCTCTTCAAAATATGATAAATAGTCTCTTTGAATATTTTTGAAGTGAGAAAATAGTCTTAAATTATTACCAACATATTAGAATAATATAAGAAAATTTTCTTATGTTAAAATTATTTGGTAAATTATAAATATGTTTTAATGTTTGGATAACCTTAAATCAAACCGATACCTTAATTTGAATGGGTGCGTGAGGGTGCTATAACTCTTTTCATGCGTAATCATACTCCCGAACTTAAATTTTAGTTTCGTGGACTATAATTTACTATTTAAAGATATTTAAGTCAAATTTAAGACTCATATTTAAATGAAACAGATTCAGTCAGATAGTTAATTGCACCTAAATAAAAAAAGATTGATGATGACTCTTAAAGTCTATATCTAGCGATAGGTCCACAAAACTATATGTTATGACAGTCATCACAGTGAGATTTAATTTTTATTTTTTTTAAATCATTGATATAACTTTATTTTTATTAGTTCATTACATTTTATATTTATCTATATGTATTATATTAAAAAGATCTTTATTTAATACCTTAATTTAATAAAATTTTTTATTTCTTTAATTTTACTTTGGTTTTTTTTATTAAATTAATTTAATTTAAAAAAAAAGAGATCGATCAAGGTATCCACATCGCAACTTTGTTTAACTTTTTTCCTTTCATTTTTATTAATTAGATCAATTTTACAATAAATATTGTCGATTCATAAAGATGTCACAATAGTTTATATTTGACAAGTTTGATCCATCTCAATTAGATAAAAAGGTGAATTTTTTTCAATCAATATTAAGTTAAAATAAGTCTTCTTCTTTTTTTTTTTTTTTAAAAAAAAGGTGATTGAAATGAAAATTTATTTAAGATATTTTATCCTTACCAATTTTGAGGTATATAAAAGTTTATATTTTATTATTAATTTTGTTTATCTATTATATTAATAAAATAATTATTGATACCTTAATTTAAAAAATTAATATTTTAAATTTGATGAAAATGACTCTATGTCATTCTCTATAAGCTTTTATTTTTTTTATTTCTTTACTTTTTTCTTTTTCTTTTTTCTTTTTTGGTTTTTTCACTTTTTTATTTTTTTTAAATTAAATAATTTCTAAGAAAAAAACGAGGCTATGAAAATAACCACATCTCATCTCTACTTGCTTTTGGGTTATCTTTTGTTTTTTATTTTTATATTAAGTGAACTTTTTAATAAAAGATTAATTAAATAAATATGACAAACAAAAAAAAAAACTTGCAATAATGTACGGATATTTTGCTAGTAATATTAATAACCTCAGCTCACTTTTGTATAAACCGATTTCCGGTTGAAATAATTTTTTGCCACGTAGATTTATCCAAAGGCAGCATTCAAGCAATGAAGCTTCAAAATTAAATAAAATCCAACTGCCTGAGTCTTGCAGCGCACGGAAAACGCATTTCAATAATACAGAAGGCACCAAAAATTTTCTCTACTTTTTAGATTGAAATTGGTCCCGAGTCGAAGGACTTCTAAATCTAAGTCTGTTTAAAAGTAAGGAATCAAAACACATTTCAGATCGTTAGATTCTTCTACCAAGAAAGAATGCATCCAAGAACCCCACTTCAATAACTTCTTCTCCAAAGAAGAAACACCCAAGAATATGTAAGTGAAAAAAAAAAAAAAAGAAATTTCTTTAACTCTTTGATTTTTTTTTTTTTTGAGATTTTTGATTCAATTTCTATGTGTTTTCTTGAACAGCTTGATAGGTTCATACCAAATCGTTATAAGTGATATGTTTCAATTTGTTATGAACACCATATAATATTAAATTGTAATTAATTAATTATATAATATTAATTATAAGTGATATGTTTTAATTATTTTATATTTTTCAAAAAATCTAAACTTTTTTTGCCTGTAAAATTTGCAAATCTTTACAGTAATAAAAAGAGAATCTATGACTTAATCTTAGATATGAAAAAAAAATATTTTGGGAAATTTTCATTAATTATATTGCTTTTTTAATAAATTAGAAAATATTAGATAACATTAAATGAAGCTTGGCTTCTATGTACTTTTTTTTTGCCACGTAGATTTGTCCAAAGGGCAGCATTCAAGCTTCAAAATTAAATAAAATCCAACTGCTTGAGTCTTGCAGCGCACGAAAAAGGCATTCAATAATATAGAAAGCACCAAAAAAATTTCTTCACTTTTTAGATTGATATTGGTCCTGAGTCGAAAGACTTCTAAATCTAAGTCTGTTGAAGAGTCAGGAATCGATATACTTGTTAGATTGTTAGATTTTTCTACCAAGAAAGAATGCGTTCAAGAACCCCACTTCAAGAACTTCTTCTCCAGAGAAGAAACACCCAAGAAGATGTAAGTGAAAAAAAAAAAAGAAGAAATTTCTTCAGTTCTTTGGTTTTTTTTTTTTTTGTTGGGATTTTTATTCAATTTCTATGTGTTTTCTTGAATAGCTTGATAGGTTCATACCAAATCGGTCGGCAATGGACTTTGGGTATGCTCATTACATGTTGACAGAAGGGAGAAAAGGTATTGGGAAACCCCATGTTGTCGGTTCTCCGTCAAGAGAAGCTTATAAGAAGCGGTTATCTGAGGCCCTGAATATGAACCGAACCAGGATTTTGGCTTTCAAGAACAAGCCACTCACGTTGGATGGTAATGGTATGGTCCACCGTGAAACGGGTTCCCCTCATCAGTCCAAACCCATCAAGAAAAAGCGGCATATTAGTCAGGTTCGTTTTTGTTACTTGCCTTTTTGGTTTAGGACGTAATGCGTAAAAAACCCAAGCTTCTAATTTTCTTCAATAGTCTTTTTTGAATTATATGATGTATGATTTTTATGATTCTAGTCATTTCTTTACTTTGTTGTTTATAGTATTACTTTTTAGGAAGCAGGAACGGAAGAACAAAATTAAAAACTAAATGGGTTTTTTTATAGGATTGGGGTTAACTAGTGTTTGGCATTTGGATAAGATTTTGATTGGCAAGAATGAGATATCGGATTGATAGAGGTGCATGTGTTTTGTCTAATTGTAGTTTGTTTTGGGATTTGATTTTGCAGGCTGCTGACAGGACACTTGATGCCCCTGAAATTTTGGATGATTTTTACTTGAATTTACTTGATTGGGGATGTAACAATGTGCTTGCAATTGCTCTAAATGACCAAGTATATCTGTGGGATGCTTCAAATGGTTCCGCCTCAGAACTTGTCACTGTTAACTATGAAGATGGTCCTATTACAAGTGTCAGCTGGGCGCCTGATGGGCGGCACATTGCAATTGGCCTGAACAACTCTCATGTTCAGCTGTGGGATTGTCAAGTTAAGAGAAAGGTTTGTCCAATTTTCTGATTGTTTTTCCTTTGTGTTGATAATGTTATTAGCGCGTCCTTACTGAGTTTTTTTTTTGTATCTTTTCTGTTAACCGTGCAGCTAAGAACGCTGAGCTGTGGTCATCAGCATGAGACACGAGTGGATGCATTAGCATGGAACAATCACATTCTTACATCTGGAGGAATGGATGCTAAAATTATTAACAATGATGTTAGGGTCCGGGAACACTTTGTTGAATGCTACACGGGACATCGGTTGGAGGTTTGTGGCCTGAAATGGTCTTCCTCAGGTCAACAGTTGGCCAGTGGAGGAAATGACAACTTGCTTTTTATCTGGGACAGATCCATGGCATCTTCTACTTCTAGAACACAGTGGCTACACAGGCGTGAGGACCACACAGCTGCAGTGAAAGCCCTTGCTTGGTGCCCATTCCAGGGAAATTTGTTAGCCTCAGGAGGTGGCAGGAATGATCGGTGCATTCGATTTTGGAATACGCATACAGGTGCTTGCTTGAATTCAGTTGACACTGGTTCACAGGTCTGCGCTCTTCTGTGGAATAAGCATGAGCGCGAACTGCTTAGCACTCATGGCTTTACAGATAATCAGCTCATTTTATGGAAATATCCATCCATGACAAAGATGGCAGAGCTCTGTGGCCACACATCCAGAGTGCTCTACACGGCTGAGGTACTATCTTGAATTGATTGTTTTGCTTATATGCACAATTGGGTTTTTCTTTTCAGCTCTGACAAATTTCATCTTTTCCTCCCAGAGTCCAAATGGATATACTGTGGCCACTGCAGCTGGGGATGAGACTCTGCGGTTGTGGAATGTGTTTGGGACTCCTGAAGTGGCTAAGCATGTGTCGAAAGTGAAACCTGAGCCGTTTGCACATATATCTCGTATTCGTTGAGAATTTGGAAATAATAGAAGAGGTTTCATCCAGAGGCGGATTTACAATTGCTGCTGTTGTAAATCGTAAATTCTTTTTAGTATTATTATGTAATTAATATAAGATGAAGAAATTGAGTTTTAATTTTTTTTTTCTCCAATGAGATTTAGTTATTAGTTCATTATAAATTTTGTTAGTATTGTTTACATGTGAATAAATGCATAAGGAATGAAATATATTAAGTTCTTTATATTATGCCATTTCTATCCAAATTATGAGCAATATTCTATTGTAAGGATAAAATTATTATATTTTTGTACATACAAGGATAGCTTTTCTATGAGTATTTGTTGGTCAATTTGCAGAAGGAAAATAGTGAATGTGTGCTTCTTTATCTTTATTGCCTTAGACTAAAATGACACTTTCATGCTTGAAAGAGAACTTGATTAGTATTGTTTCTTTGTGAAATCTTACTTTTTTATATGGCAATAGAAAAAAAAAGAAATCCATTTATTTTTTTGTAAAGAGAAATGATGATATATCTTTGGAGTTTGAGTTGTTTTACATCTTTTGAGAGCTATGCTTGTCTTCGATAATTGAAAAGTTTTTTTTTTTTTTTTTGAGTTCTAGGCCTCTCTTCTTTTCTCTAATTGTATTGTAGAAACTAATTTCTCAAGCCATTTCTTTGTTAAGCTTGTATTTGTATTTCAAAACTTTTGGTTATTGAATCACGCAAAATAATGCTATGATGATAAATAAACTTAGAGTTTTAGCTTAACAAGTAACTTTTTCATTTTGTTTCAGAAAAAAGGTGTCTGTTGAAATTCCTAGTACTTTAAAGAAAGTTGCCTTATTTACAGTGTATTGTTGATGCATGTTTTCTTTGGGCTTTTTCTAGCTCAAATATAAAGTAATATCAAAGAAAGAAAAAGAAAAAGAAAAACAAGAATTTAAAAGCAAACCAACCATAATGTTTATGAAAACAATCAGTTTTAGATAAATATTTTCTAAATGCATTAAGTTAATAAGTTCTAGGCTATAATGTAAACAATAAATTTTCATTGAAAAAATACATTGGGAACTTGAATCCATATATACTGATTGATATAGAAAAAACCTTGTGTTGTGCCAACAGAAACTTTAATCAGAGCAATCACTCTTTACTGTGCCTTACAAATAAACTTATCTAAAAAATCAAAAAATTCAAAGACTTATAGTACGTAAAATTGGATTCAAAGATAAATATCTATTCATCTAGGTTGTGGTTAAACAAATATCTTAAGCAACATTATCTAAGCATTGAAAACTGTTTTAAAAGGAATTATTTTCACAATATATGTGTGAAAATTGCATAAATTATATAATAGAATCTTGGAAATTTAATGTTTCAAGTTATTTTTGTTACATTGTAAAGAGCGAGAACCTTTCTCAATGGCTTAAGGACCCAACATATCATAATACCACTTTATCATGGAACATTGTTCTTAGTAAGATGTAAGTCCAAAAGTATGGATGCACTTATCGTAAAAGGTTTTTATACTAACTTTAATATTATTTTTGGGTAAGGAGTGGTATGATTAAGTAGGATATATATAGACTTTCAAGTTACTATCTTGCACTGGGTAATTTAAAACTCAAGATATGGAAGTAATTGTGAAAATTTGACCTGCCTATGTTGTTTTGATTTGGTTCTTTTATTAGAGTGATGCTAAAACATTTGAGATATTGAGATCTTAATTTCTTTTTTCTGACACTACCTAATATTTTTTATTGTTTTTTGGACCAAATCCAACTCTAACTTTTGGATAAAAAAATATCTTCCAACCATTTAACATTCATGTTTATATTTAATGTATTTACTAGAATCATATTTAAACTATATATGTAAATGTAATATATGTTAATTGAAAGATTGTCTACAACTGATCATTATGTTATTATCATTGAATGACTTGCTATGTTGGCTAAATGACTCTCAAAGTGGAGCAAGGGTTTCTAACTAGTAATATTATTTTAAGATTATATTAATAAATAATATAATAATAAATATTATTAATTTGATTAATAAATTTTATAACAATATATTAATAGATAATATATTATTAATAAATAATAAAAATATTAATGTAAAATATTAATAAATAATATAAAGAATAATAATAGTTTTATTTTAAGTATTTTTATATCAACATAGTATTTTAAAATTAAAAATTATTAAAATATAATTATTTGTTAATATTAATAATTCTAATAATAAATAATTTCAATTTTAACAATATATATATTTAATATTTTAATAGTTATATTAATATTATTTAAAAAAAATTCAAAAAAACAACCAAACAGTAGAAAACATTTTTCATTGACTCATCTAAATAACATGAATTTTCTTTTAATTCAAAAAATATAAATATTTTTCAAAATTTTTTTTCAAAAATAATTTTCTACGAAACAAACGGGGTCTATAATTTTTAAATTTGTTTTCACAAATCACAACATAGTAAAAATTATATTTAATTTTTTAAAAATTTTTAATCTTTTGATAATATTCGTGTTTATTAACATTTTGTTATTTTATGAGTGTTTATTTATTAATTATGTTAATTGATTAACTTTAATATTATTTTTGGGTAGGGAGCAATATGATTACATAGGATATATATATATATATATATGTAGATTTTTAAATTATTATATTGCATTGGGTAATTTGAGATTTAAAAGATATGGAGATAATTGTGAAAATTTGATCTGCCAATGTTGTTTTGATTTCGTTCTTTTGTTAGAATGATGCTAAAACATTTGAGATATTGAGATCTTAATTTCTTCTTTCTGACACTACTTGATTATTTTTTGTTGTTGTTTGGTCCAAAACCAACTCTAACTTTTGGATAAAAAAAATTATATACTATTAAAGTTGAGTTTCAATTGGGATTGTATGATTAATTAAATTGATATTTCAATCGAATGACATTTTTTATTCAATTACAGAGCCACCCATAATTGTTTTTTTTTTAATTTTTTAATTTTAAGGATATTTTTTATTTTCTTTAAACAAAATTAGAAAAATATAAGAAAAAGAAAAAACAAAAGAAAAAATTGTGATTTTTTTAATTATTAATTTTCATATATTTTTGAGAAATAATATTTCTATAAAAAAGTTTTAAAAAAGGAAAAGGAAGAAAAAATTTAAAAAATTGAGATTTTTTTTTTGTTTTCTTTTTTAAACTTACCTTTATTGTTTTCAAAATAAATATTTTTCACCAAAAAAATTATAAAAATAAAATATAAAATATCAATAATCAATAATCACCGATAAGTTAAACATCGTCAATAACAATAAATACAATTCCTTTTGTCTTAAAACGGAGACAATCCAATGGAATAGCTCAATTAATTATCAAAGAAAAAGTTTAAATAATAAATAAAAAGTTAAAATCTTCCAAACATATAATAATATTAAATAGAAATATTAAATACAGAGAAAATTAAAATTGTTTTATTAAAAATTATAATTTTTAAATTTATTTTCACAAAAATTATAATATACGATAAATTGAAAAGATCATATAATTGATCAAACAATTAAAAAAAATTACAATACACTTAACATAGCACAAAAAATCAATAATAAAAACAATAATCAGAAAATAGTAAATATTATATTTATTTTAAAAAACTTTTAATATTTTGATAATATTTCGTATGTATTAATTTTTTTTGTTATTTTATGGATATTTATTTATTAATTATGTTAATTGATTAAGTTTCTTATTTTTATTAAAAAAAATGATGGAGAATCGAATTTAATTTTTAAACATAAATATATACATATATTACTGAAATTGACGGTCGACTCTATTAAAATTTTAATTGTATAACTAAAAATTAATATGTGAATTAATGATACGAGTGCATTTGTGAGCAACACCCTTTGTCTCCCTATCAACCAAGAAAAGCACTTTCGTGGATGATGACAACACGTCGCCGCCACGAAACAGCTAACAAACGTTGGCCAAAAAAAAAAAAAAAAACAGCTAATAAACAAAGTTGGATCACAAATTTCTAAGTAACTTCCTGTCGTTTTTTAGAAAAAGTGTCCACTTGGAATTTACTGATTTGAAATTTTTTTTAATCTCATTAATGAAGATGCACTTAATTAGATTATTACGTGTTAGATTTGATGATGTGACAAGCAAAATGTGGCTGACATGTTAACACGGGAACTGTTCTTTCCATGGCATCCCTGTATTTAGAGTTTAGAGTATTTCAAAACCCTCTTGGGATAAAATGTGATGTTATAAAATTATTGTTAATTTCATTTGATTTATAAGAAAGTATCCTTGCAAATTTTTTATTTATAAATTTTATAAAGTACAATTATATATAATAATATATTATAATATACATAAAAATTTGATAAAATATATTACGTAAATGTTTATATGAATAATTTTTTAAATGATATGTAAGATAATAATAATTATAATATTATTAAAATATTATTATCTTAAAATATACAAAATTTTTAATATATATAATTATTTTTATACCTAAAATATATATTTAAAATATTTTATCAACAAATTTGTAAAGATTTAAATATTTTATCACAAAATTATTAAAATATATATTTTTAAATTTACATATTTATAATTAATCTAAGAAAATATTTATTTAAATTTAAAAATTTAACATGTATGAATTTTAGAATGGATTTTTCTAATAAACTAAATATATTTCTATCTTTTTGAATAAAAAATTCCAAATGTCGCAATATATATATTTAGGTTATTTATAGATTAATTAAATTAAATTAACTTAAATTAAATTAATATTTTAAATTTTAAATTTCATTCTCAAATTTAATTTTTATTTTTAGAAATTTCGTAATAATCCTCTATTATTTGATTATTTTTAAATTTAAAAGGATCAATATCACATATTAAACAAATAACTTAATGAAACTCTTAAAAGCCAATTATATTTCTCTGCTTTTTTTTTCTCTACCTTTATGTATTCTTCTTCATATTTAGCAAAGTATAAAGTTACAATTTACAAAAGCATTTATTCTTCTTTTTTATAAGTGCTAATGATATCTTATCTTTAACTTATAAATATTTACATTAAATTTGCTTTTTCGATAATCACTTTAATTTCTAAAACAGGTTTCTATTTCATAATACTATTAGAAACGGTGATTGACAAATTTACTTGCAAGCCTTAAGTGGCAATACCATGCACAATGACATTATGCCATTGGTTTTACATGCACCAATCTCATACAAAAAATGATTCGTAGGAAGATGTTTTATTTAATGCTTACTTGCATCTTTCTCTTTCAAAATAACTCTTTGTTTTCAAGTATGGGTGCTTATAGAGAATAGATGCATATGTAAAGTAGTTTTCATGAGATTTTTTATCAACAAACATGTAGATTAACATTTAATTACATTCTTTACTCTAAAAAAAAAATTAATTGCATTATTTGAAAATAAAACATTATTGATTTACTCTTAAAAATGAATGATAACGCATATGATTTTCTCATTTCTTTGGTGAGTCTACATTTTTCATCAACAAAATAGAGGAAATACCACACTTGCTGCAGGTTATTATTGTAGGTTATGAATTAAGGTAACCTTTTATACATTGTTTAAACATTTAAAGTCATTGTTTCTCTTAAATAGATACAATTTATCTTAAACTTATATAAATTTGTAGGTACTTAAAAATGATTGCATAAGATGGAGATGAGGCATATTGAAGAAAATTAATTTGAAGTGATGAAACTTTTAGTTTTGATTTTAATATTTTGTTGGTGTATTTAATATTATTATTTATAATATATTTTGGATATTTTATTTTTCTTCAAATATTATTTTTCATATTTTTGAAATTTGTTAACTTTGTAATAAAAGTTTTAATTTTATATTGATTTTTTATCTTAATTATATTATATGCATTTTACATATATCTTGAATATATAAGTCATTAAATAGAGTTAATTTATGTGTTTATATATATTTAAATAATTAAAAATAATTCGTACATCGCACGAATAACAAACTAATTATATAAATAATTTTATATAATTATTAGAATTTGATAGTACTTCTATCATTTTTTTTCATTTTTTTTGAAATGTCTTAAAATTATGTTTTATTTTTTTAACATTTAAAACATTTATTTTTTTATATTTTAAAATTATTTTGTGTGATTTTTTTTATTTTTTGACATTAAGCATCATGAAATTTTAATTTTATAAAAAATTTAAAATTTAATATTAAATATATTTAAATTAAAATTTTTTAAAATTTTATAAAAGTTAATGTATGACAAATATTTTGAGACAAAAATATATATATATATAAAAAATTGAGATCCCATTTTTCTAAATCATGGAACCGGCTCACTCTATGCAAAGAGCAAAAAGAGTGCAACCCAAACGTTTTTTGACCCAAGTGAAAAGATGTAGGCGCTTGAAGCTAGACCATTGGTTTGTTTGACCAAAGGAAAAGACGTGGCACAGTCATCGAAAACAAAAAATCCTGGTCTTCAAAGCAGCAGAGTGCATGGGGGCCAAATGTCTGCCATATTAATCCCGAGCGCTCTATGTTCGATCGTTCGGTGTTGGAGGCTTCAAATTCCTTTACGAATAATAATAATAAAAAAATGAACCGCCATGCTCTCTTTATTTCTCAACTCTCGTGTCTTTTTTTAAAACCCTCAACCAAGATTCCTGCTTCTTGTCTTTTATGATAACACTTTTTTGACCCTGTTTTGCTTGGAGGCCAAGAACTCTTATTCTCAAGTATTGGGTTCTTTTTATTTTTGATTTCTGGTGATCAGCACAAAAGTTTTTACCTTTTTTCATTGGATCTCTAGGTTTTTTTTGTTGTGATTTAATTTTGATTGATATATTGGGAAGATGAAGTTTGGAGAGACTTTTAAGGAGTATCTGCATGGGGATCAGGAATGGTTTTTGGATAAGTTTTCTCATGTTGAGTATCAAAGGCTTAAGAAAGTGCTAAAAAGCTGCAGAACCTGTAAAGCATTACATGACTCTAACCAAAAAAATGAACAAATAGATGATGGGAAGAATCCCACGTTGTCTCAGTTCTGTCAATGCCAATCTTGCCCGAGTGAGTTCTTTATTTTGTCTTTTTTTTTTTAATACTGATTTTCTCCACCCATGCTGTCTTATGTTAGTATTAATCAATTTTATTACACTTAACTGTCAAAATCTGATGAAATAATGGGATAAGATGATATTTCTCCAACAATTGTCTGGTTTTACTTGTTTATTAATATATAGATTCCAAATTTCCTATTTAGAGAAAAAGATAGGATAATCGAATATTGGTTTTATAGTAATCTAAAAATTAAATAGCAGAGGCATAGCATCCATCTTATATGTATACATTTTTTTTGCTTTATTCAAGCTTTAATTATTCAATTATTTTATTACCTATTCCTTTTCTTTTCATCATGATCTTTAGTTGAGTAATGGTAATTATACAATAGAGGGAGAGAATTTTGGTTTCCCATGCTCAGTCTCCCACTTGCAAGACTTTTGAAAGCAAAAATGAATTTAAGTGAATCCGACAGTGGCTCAATTGGTTCATGTAGCTATAGAGGTGGCATCCAGCTTGGTTCAAATAACAGCACATGCAACCCTTCCCCCATCCTTGGTGCTAGTTGTTGCCTTTTTGTACCCAAAAATGGAGTTGGTTGTTGCCTTTTTGTACCAAGAAAAAGGAGTTGAAGCGACACTCTGTTGTCTTTTCCTATCAGATATTGGTAGTTTCCAATTTTTAGAACTTTGGTTCTTCCTTTATCTAAAAATAGCTTACAGGCTTTTAAAAGCCTATTTGTAAATTTCTTTGCGCTTTTGGGAGCAAAATTTATGTTTTTCTATTATTCTGATGCAAGGTAATGGATAATAGAGCTCTTGTTGCTGACGTAAAGTTCAATATACTTAGTTGGAGCATCTGTTAATGAGCTTGTGCATCTTTTAGCGTGTGATCAGATGTTCTTTACTGAATTGACGAGGGAAGCTACCAATATAGCTGGATGCTTTAGTTCCAGAGTAAAACATCTCCTCCATCTTCATGTTGCCACTGGAATGCAGAGATACATTTTGCGGTTACGACAATGTTTCAAAAATGATCAGCAAGCCTTGGTACAAGAAGGGCGGATGTTAATAGAGTATATTACAATGAATGCAATTGCTATATGTAAAATCCTGAAGAAGTATGATAAAGTATGCAGCCATTTTCTTTATTTAATATCATTTACGATAGTCTTTCAATCACTTTGTTTAGAGAAAGATTCTAAGATGATTAAGTTTCTGTTTTAGGTACATAGCTCTGTAAATGGGAAGAATTTCAAATCCAAGATGAGGGCTGAACATCTGGAGCTTTTGCAATCACCTTGGCTGATAGAATTGGGAGCTTTTAACTTGAATTTGAATGGATCAGATGGTGGAGAATTTATTCAGTTTTCTGGTTCTTTTGCTTGCAACCTCAATGCAACGGAACCCGTGATGACACTGATGCTTCCGAATTCAATAATGTTAGAATATGATTTAACATGTGCTATTTGCTTGGTAAGCTCTTAACTTTGTTACATTCCAAGACAAGGAAATATAATTTGCATTTTATTCGATGGTGATATTCTCATTTCTTTTGGTCCCTATCTCTCAGGAAACTGTTTTCAATCCATATGCCTTGAGTTGTGGTCATCTTTTCTGCAAGTCATGTGCTTGCTCAGCTGCTTCTGTGATGATCTTTCAAGGACTTAAAGCTACAAGTCCAGATTCAAAGTGTCCAATCTGTAGAGAGGTTTGGATTTGGCTTTGAACTAATTGGTGTTCTGTTTTACATACAAATTCAGCTTCTTCTTGAGTAGTTAATCTCTTTCCATTTTAAATTTACAGTATGTTTCCTATCGTCTGGTAATTAATTAGGCTAAGGATTCGCATACTTACGTGACCAAAAAAAAAAAAGTTAGCATACCTATGTGACAAAAAAAATTAAGTAAATGATCCCCGCAACTCGTCTTCCTCACAGAAAGCCATTCCTCTTCTATTATCTTAAGTGATGCAATTCTTTTTCATTATAATTTTCTTTCCCCGTGGTTATATATAGATCAATTTAATGGGTCATTTCATGTTTTTCTCCCATGTGAACGTAGAATTTGGCTCCAACTTTGCCACACACGACAAGGACCTTACTCTTAATATATTTTGTGCTTTTAAATTGTCCCGTAATTTGAAGTTTATATTCCTTTCTTTTTTTCTTTTTACATGACGTAACTGAGCTAAGCTCTGGGTTCAGTTCATCTTCCTTTCTAACTGAGAACAGATAATAAGATACTTTCCAATTGAAGAATTCAATGTTTTATTTGCTAAATCCCCATCGATATGGTAAGAATCTGCTTCAGCAATGATTCCAGTAGCACTATCTTTAAGTTGAACCATTGATGGTGCTTGGGAAGGAGAGGATGTTGATTTTATTTCTGTTGTTGGTGTAACCATCATTGCTGAAGCATTTTAACCATTGATGGTGCTTCAGCAATAAAATCTCCATCCATATCCTTTCTTTTTAACTGTTGTTGGTGTCTTGCTGATTTTATTTCTTGATCGAATGAAGATCTGGAAAGTTATTCTTCCTTAGTTGTGCAAGTTCCATTCTAATTGGTGTAGCATTGAATTTCTTTTTCTCAAGGAAGAAACTTGTTTAAGTATGCTTCTATTTAGTGTACGTGAATTTTATCAAATTAACAGAGAAAACTTGTTAATTTCTTCCCTTCTCCCCCAAAGGAAAAAGGGAACAAATAAGAAATGAATAGAAGCAAAAAGTTACTCAAAAGCTGTTTGTTACGAGCCAAAACAGAGTTAGTCAGTTAGTTGATCATTTTTGTTATATTTTTGTTATGAGTCAACATAGTTAGTTACATACTGACAAGTGAGCTCCTTCTAAAGATTTCTACAGATATATAAGAGGACTGTGGGTTGAACTGAGGGATCATAACAATATTTCCTAAAAATTCAATCTCTTTCTTTTCTCTGAATTTCTCTGTTCTTCTCACTTCTTTTCTTTTTCAGAATCTTCAATTACTGGAAATTCATCTCATTTCTCTTCTTCATTGACAACGTCTGGTTTGAGTGCATCACTGTTCTCGGTTTCAAGTTATTTCAGAATATTTCTCCCCCTCAGTATTTGAATCTTTTGTTTCTCCTCTCATCTGCAGGCTGGAGTATATGCTAATGCGGTACGCATGCTAGAGCTAGATCTGCTAATTAAAAGAAGGTGGTGAGCAAAACTAAAAACTATATTCATTTCTTGGGAAATAATAAAAAGTGTGAATAATATGATGGTTGGAATAGTTCAGACATAAAATCTTTGCTCGTTTACATATATTGCCATCATTTCTATCACCCCTATTCGGAATCGGGACCACCCTTTATTTCTTTTCTGGGAAATTCACTGGTTCTGATTATCACAAATCTGTCTACAGGTACAAAGATTATTGGAAAGAGAGGCTCATCGCAGAACGCGCCATGACGGTGAAACAGTCTAAGGACTACTGGGAATCGCAAACGAAATATGTGATTGGCTATTAACTTAATTCTGTATCTCTGTTTCAAGATGAAGCCAATGTTCAATGTCTAACTTTAGATTAAGCAAAGGAGAAAGAGTTGGCAGTTGGATGACTTCAGTTCAAGTTCACTTGAATTTAAATGCTTGAGTGAGTAGTAGCAGCATCCATCTTTCCACGGAACCAAGCATTTTTGTCCTTTAATCTCACTAGTAAGCATTATTTGTTTTGAGAAAAAAAAATACATTTACTTTCTCAAAACTATTGTGGATTTACACTTGATTATTAAATGTGATTTTTTTTTTTAATAACTCTTAAGTCTTATAGGGTGTGAATTTTGTTTAATTATATGTTAATTTATTGGTTTTTGCTGTATTAAATGTTAATATTTTTATTGTAATTGTAATTTTTAATGATATATGTAATTTTATTTAAAAAAATTCTTAGCATAATAGAATTACACCTTGGTTTTGTTTGTGCTGCTATGGGCTTAAATTTGAGCTCGCGAATCTCAACTTGTCTTGTTGTTGCCACTCGTCTTGTTCAACCAAATAAATATTCAAATAAATATAAAAGGTAAACGGCTAAACAAGTAAGGTAAAGAACAAGAGATTAGGAAATTTAAAAGGTTATTATTATAAATAACCATAAATTTGTATTGAAATATTTAATGAGGTGTTTGAATTTTAAAGATTTTTAATATGATATTTAAATTATAAATATTATAATTAATGTGGCATTTATTTTTAAAATGACTAACTTCAAATGATGTTAGGTGGTGAACAAATAATTATTCAAATATATATTTTTTTGTTATATCATGATGATAAAATTTTAGTACAAGTAAAGAAAAAAGAGTAAGGTTTAATTTAAAATCAGATTTTTGATATTCCTTTAAATATCTTTAATCCCTAAATTAAAAATTTGGAGACTCAAATATCACATTATATAAAAATAAATAAGTATTTAAATATCGTATTATGCGAGAATTTATTATACGTTATATCTTGTTTGGTATAACATATATTATCGGATCATTACTTTTTTTTTTCTTCAGACATTACCTAAAGGAAAAATAATGACCCGGTAATATATTTTGTACCTTGCCGGCCATTATAATTTTTTATTTGTTTTATCAATTGCTTTAATGTATATAAACCCCAACATGTGAAGTATCATAATGAAATGAGCTTCACATTTACTTTTGGTCTACTTAAGGGAGAAAATAAGTTTCCATAAAAAATAAAGCAAATAATCATTTCCAATCATCTATATTTTTAGAATTACGTAATAGATTCTCAATTGCTTTAAATGATGAAATCTTCAAAATATTTTGCACCGACTCTTCAATTCTTCACTATCATTGATATGACTTAATTTAAACTCTTCTCAGGTCCATGGCACGCTTAAGATTAGTCCAACGTCTTTATTTTTTATTAACACAATTTTCTCAAACCACCTTAAAACAAAATTCATAGCCTCAAATTATTTGATGAGCCATTCACATAAAGGGTGGAGAAGAGTTGGTTATAATGGCATTAATTCCTAAAGGAAGTAATGAGCCAGATGATTGGCCTTTTGTAAAAGGAAAAGACTTATATGAAATTTATTAGGTAATATTTGTAAAATTTTTTATTAGAAATGATTAAATAAAATTAAAATTGATGTATTGAAAGATCTTGTTAAATAAATTAAGTGTGCAAAATTTAACAAAAATTTAATGAGTTTTAAAATATATTTTTAAATAAATATTTTTAATAAAAATGTTGACAAAATTTTTATAATTTTCAATCAAATTTGAATTATAAATAACATTTTTTTATATATTATTGATCTTTATATGGAACTCTATTAGTCTATTGATTTTGATTTTTTATTAAAGTTTTTATTAAATTATTTTTACAAATTTCACTTAAAAAACTTCATATAAATTTTGTCTTTTGTAAAACATTGCAGGAAACCTAACATCTGTTTTAGGCTTCCCACTTTCTGATTCTAAGCAAAATGTTTTTGTCTTAAATAATTCAAATGCTGCTTCTGAGTTATGAGAAGCTGAATGCATTCATGAAAAACGATCAAGATACCTACCTGTGTATTATTTTGAAACTAACTATGTGCTTTTCGGATTCTCTTAATGTTGGATTGGTTCGTTACTTTCAGTAAATATACCATTTCATATGATAGGGTTTCTCTCTGTACAATTTAGCTGGTGAAGTAGAGTTGTACTTATTTTACTAATGAAAAAGGTGGTCATGATCTAGAATCTCAACCTACTTATACCCCAGATAGATTCTGTTTTCTTTTATGACATTTAAACTTTTAACAATTAATGACAGTTTAAAAGAAAATTTTCATTTTAGTTTGCTACATACTTTATGTCTGGGGAAATTATATGTTGAAATAGAATGAAATATGGTGATCAAAGGTGAAAACGGAAAAATTTAACAATGGGATAATAAAATAAATGTCTTTGCACCACATAAATATGAAATTATGGTTGAATGGAGGATTAAAGTGTCCTATATGTGCTCCATGACCCAAGTAATGAAACATAGATTTGGTAATCTATGTCAAATGACACAATTTAATTAGTTCAGAAATGCTTAATTACTTTCTTTTCCTAATTGCATCCATGTTCCTAACATAGTAGTTTTGGTTCACAATTAAAGATGATGAAAAATAAATAAATAAAGAAGTCTTTGTTGATCATATAAGGGTTTTGTGCTGGCATTATGTCTCATTGTGTGTCATCATATAATCATTTTAATTTTTCTTTTTTTTTTTTTGTTTTGTGATTGACATTTATTTGTGATATTGAATGTTTTTAGCCTATTGCGTGATAAAAATGGCAAACCAGGGACCCGGTTAATTAGAAGCAAAGCTTTGGAAAAAAAAAAAAAAACAGAGAAACAATCCCGGCTTTCTTTTCAAAATGGCTCCCAGGTTGCCATCTGAGGCTGGACGAGGGAAGTCCACTTCATTGGCTCGTAAAAAGGTATTGAAATTGCTAGAAGATCTCCTGTTCAGCACATTTCAACTTCGGCCAAGTCTCCTACTCTAGGTCTTACAATGGAGCCAGAGAATCCAGGTCTAGTGATTATATTAATAACTCGTAAAATTCATGGAATGCATGAAGCCTCAAAAACCATCAAGAGGCCAAGATCAATGCATTGCCCTAATGTCCCTGTTTCTGGGAAATTTCAGTTAGTGAGTCTAGACATGCAAAAGCTTAAGGATATGGGTGCAGAAGCAGTTGGTCCCAGCTCCCAGGAGAAAGCTGATCCACGCTATTGACTGTCTGTCTGCCCTTTGGGGCCTTATAAATATTCCTAGAGTTAGTTGGAATCGATGAATTAGAAGGGAGAAAGTGAAGAATGAAGGGTTTTCAATTTTTGTTATAGATATTCAGTTTGTGACCAAAGCAATTTGACACGAGTGAGAGCTCATATGGGCGCTATCCTCTAGCAGCTGCTTGTATTTTAGGACAATTGCTTGGATTAGGTTTCATCCTAACCAGGTCGGACTGATGAGTTTATATTAGATTACGCAGTCTTGTTCCAAAATTAAGTACTACGAACATGAAACAGGGACCATATCGAAAGGGTCATTCCAGGATGTGCAGTTAATTATAGATGCTCCATCAGCTGGAGATCCTTGTCCACTGATCGGCTAATTTACCATGTTAACGACCCAACATATAAACTCACCTTCTGTTGTTATTACTTGCCGTATCTGTTCTTATTCTAACCCTATTAATAGCAATACTTTCTCGGACAGCCGCAGGTCCTTAAACTTTGCAAGTTTCTTCGGTTGATTTGGTTAAAATCCAAGTCAACCTCATCCTAGTTTCCATGGTAAGACATTGTAATGGCACTTTTGAAACGTGTCCTTTGTGTCAAAACAGTTTTGTTTTTCATTTTCTAGAAAATTACACAATTGTACAGTTTAAGCCAATCTTGTAGCTAGCACTAAAACAAATATACCTATAAATCACATTTACAAGATCAGGAATATATAACTTATTATTTATATATAAAAGTGTAAATTTAAAAGCGTTAATAATACTTGAATTAAATATTCCTATAAATTTTAAAATTAACAAATTTATTTTTAAATATATAATTTTTATTAATTTATTTAAGCTTAATTTAAATCAACTAAAATTAAAGATAGAGTTCATGTGAAATTAGATTTAATTGATAACAATATTTAATAAGAGGAGTTTGGCTAAAAAGAAAAAAGGGAGCAGAGAGCTTTTGAGGCAAATATGCTGAAAATTGATTTTTATGGGGTTTCAAAATGATGTCGTTTTTGAGGATTCAAATCTACACGTAACCTGACTAAAATCTATGTGCTAACCCAACCCGATCGTATGTTTTTTTTTTATTATTTTAGTTTTATTTTTTGATTTATTTATTTTAAGTTTTTATTTTTATTTTCTTTCCAAAATTTTTTATTGATTTTTATTATCCATTTATTTTATTGAATGACTTATTTATTAAATAATTTTGCAAAAATTCCTTTTTCTTTTCAGAAAACAAAAGAACAAAAAATAAAAAATAAAAAAAATAATCTTTTCAAATAATTTTAAATGGAATCCACCAAACTATTAGGAAATTTCATAAATAAACTTCAAAAAATAAAAAAATAATTTTTTTCTTCTAAACTATTGGTGGATTTGCTTCTTAGATTAAGTCTTACTAAAGTATTAAGAGATTTAATGAATTTTAAAAAATATATATATAAAAATATAATTTTTACAAATATTTTCAAATAAGATCTTACCAAACTATTAAGATATCTATCTTAAAGTAAATCCTACTAAACTATTGGAGGATTTTATTATTATTTTTGAATAAAATACATTAATAAATCTAATGACGAAGCCTTATCAGAGTGAGACATTAGTCTCTATGAATACTCATGAAGTGAAAAGAACTATCTTAAATTACGATCAAATTATTAGGGTAATTTTAAAATTAATTCTCAATATTTAATGTTTTGGTAAAAGCATAAATATTTTTA